GAGTACTTGTGAGGCTCAGAAAGTGTTATGTGATCGCATTAGAAGCAGAATAAAGCAATAAAAGTTTCCTGAAAGCTCTAATAAAAAAAATTTAAAAAATGTTATTTTATGGAGAAAAATTGTGGCGCCATCTAGCGGCGAAACTGCGAACTAAACTGAAAAAACCGTATGTCCGAACACGCGTTAAGGAAAAATATAAAAAGTAATATTTCGCAACTTTGACGACGTAGTATGCTTCTTCAGACATTTTAAAGCAATTTTTGTTAAATAAGTTATTCATTTTTTTGCCTATTAAGCCGAGAAAATCAATTTTTATTTGACCCCTTAACGCGTGTTCGGACATACGTTTTTTAGTTTAGTTCGCAGTTTCGCCGCTAGATGGCGCCACAAATTTTCTCCATAAAATAACATTTTTTTAATTTTCTTTATTAAAGCTTTCAGGAAACTTTTATTGCTTTATTTTGCTTCTACTGCGATGACATAACACTTTCTGAGCCTCACAAGTACTTAAAGATCGCTAATATTCGAGAAAATCGCAATTTTATAGTTTTGTAATTCCAACTTTCACCGCTAGATGGACGCCAATTTTTTAGTCCATGAAATGGGCTATTTTTCTATTTTCTTTAATAATGGTCCTAGCTAGCTATAATTAGATTCATTCGATTCCGTAGGCGACAAGGAAAAATTTGTATATCTCAGAATTTCGGAAAAGTCCCTAATTTTCGAGAAAAGCGAGATTTTAGTTTTCGTAGTTCCGCCGCTCACCGCTAGATGGCGCCACCTGTACCGTTTTGGACCGAATCCGACAAAAATTAATTTCCTGGCTTTGTTAGTCATCAAAACGCATCAAACCCTAATAGAAATTTGTTTCTAAATGCCTCTGGAACCATACTACGTCGTCAAAGTGCCGAAATATTGCACTTTGCATGTGCAGTGGAATTGATATAGGCGGCTTATGTACGTATCGCAATGTTGACACAAAATAATTAATTACTCATTACCCGAACATTATTTATGAACTTTTATGATCGAATCATGTAAATAATGCTGACCATTCTTTAATCATAAAAGTTCATAAACTGTGCTCAGAAAGTGAGTAATTAACGATTTTGCATACTCATTGTCGTGTATATTCCTCCTACGCCTCGCCCGCGCATGCCACGGAAGAATAATTACCGAAAAACCATATCCTCGTAGACTTTAATGCAAAATTGAATTTGCTCGCGCTTATGTACTTGACTTTTCAACTTTTTTGTCCACGCTTTTCTCTTGCACCACTCAACGAATTCAACCAGATGACACGGTTGACTATTTTTGCTTTGGCGTAAAATTTACTCGCTCGCTCAACATTGTTAGGTTAGGCGCGGAGCACCTAATCAAACAGACCTAGTAGGTATACTTATGCGTATACATATACATAGTTGTACACAAATAGTATAACTACGTATATTGTTGCTGTCAAACAAACAGATATACATTATATTATATTCTACAAAAGCAAAATTTATATAAAACAGAAGTATAACTTTACATTTACTATTTTTAATTAAATAATAGTACTTGCGGAACCTAATGACATTAAAGTAAGATATTTTGTTACAAACTGAGCTGTAGTAATTAACAATAAAGAAGTAATTAACAATATAATCTTCACATAATATGGTTTTCCCATATAGAGCTTAAAAATTTGTAAAATTGTAAATTTTTTAATTTTCTAATTTGGAAGTTTAAAGGCAGGGCCCGGCTAAGTGTCCTGTTTGGAAACTGCATGTTTTAAATGAAAGTAGTAAAATTTATGATATGTCTAAATTCTGAACTGCAATTACAAATATATTTTAAAGTATTTACATTATATAATTTTATCTCTGTACAGAATAAAAAAATTCTGTTGAATCTTAATTTGTACCGTAAATGTTACGTTTAAATCATCTGTCATGTTCTAATCTTGGGATCTACGTAATGACCTCTTTTGTGGGTATTACCAATATAACAAATAATTCACTATGATTTTAAATTTTATGTTGCGTGGTATGATGTTTCGTTAGTAAGATATATAACAAAGATTATTGTAAAATAAAGGCTTTATTATAATTTATTATATTTGCATTTTAATGAATGTGCTGTGTCTGCATTTATCTGAACAAATTGTATGGTCATGGTTGGTAGCAATACGGCTTCAAAAATACGATTTCCGATCTGAACTTAAACACCTCTCGAAATTTACAGACAGACAGAACCGTTCAAAGAAGACTTTACTTATCACGTTTCGAAAGTGTACTTAAACTTGTGCTAACTCTTTATAATATTTTTTATAGTCTATATTATAAATGATTTTTACAAGAGAGATTTCGAGGTTATGAAGCATTGCGTTCATAACAAATTCGAAGCATGTTCCACATTTGATAAAGGATTAACTTATACAACAATAAATAATACGAAACTAGTAGTACATTTTAAATACAAGAATATAAAATGAGGTGGCTTCCGCGATATTTTACACTTCCAATTACAGGCTTATCTTTAACATGTGTTAGTATTGCTTTAATATATGTATTATATAAAAAGGTAAGTTCAAGATTAAGCATTTACAAACTTACCTATTTTTATATAAAGTTTGATTTTAATTACTTTGATTCAATAGGGCAAAGAAGATGCAAAGTCTCAAAGAAGTAATATTGAAGTTTCAAGACGAATTACAATAGAATGTAAAGTACCTAGGCAACATGTACCTGCTGTTATTGGAAGAGGCGGTTCAACAATAAAAGATGTACAAAATAAGACAGGAACGCAAATACATTTTAAAGAAGATAATATTGAATGCCCTGATCGTGTTTGCCTTATAAAAGGAAGTCATGAAGCAACACAATTGGCTGAAAGAATGATTAAATCCATAATTGAAAATCAACCAATAATTGAAACATATGAAATATATGTACCTCACAATGCGTGCAGAAGGATAATAGGAAAAGGCGGTGAAGTTATTCACCAAATTCAATCAACCTCCAGTGCAAAAATTACTGTTGAAAGTGGTCAGGGTTTCTATGATACAAGTATGTTTATTTATTATACAAATATTTATTATTTTATTTTGTGTCTTTATACTTTCATAATTAATACTAATATTTTATAGATGCTGAAAGGAGGATCATGATTAAAGGAACAAGTGAACAAATTGCTGTAGCTGTAGCACTAATTGAAGAAAAAGTTCAAGAAAAGAAAGAAGCACATATAAAATTAGAGGCTTCTTCTGCAGCAAGATTGCCTAGGCGTAAATTGTCTCCTCGTAACACCTCAGTCAGTACAAGTGAACAACTACAAACACCTAAAGTTGTATCAGTCCAAGGTATGTAATGCCTCTAATTTGAATAATACAATTATGAAGGTTCATTAATTTAAACTAATTGTATATTATTTTCAGATTGTGATACTGCAATAGAAGTATATGTATCAGCAGCAGAAAATCCTAATCAATTCTGGGTACATCTTGTTGGTCCTGGAAATACAGCTTTAGATAAACTAGTTTCCGAAATGACTGAATATTACAGTGATGAACAGAATCAAGAAATACATGCATTAAAAAATGTAAATATGCAGTTATATATTGTACTTTTGAAGACAAATATTATGATTATAGCAATTAAAATGTTGGCTCATTATCGTGACTATATTATTTATTTCAGGTAACACTTGGCCAAATTGTTGCTGCAAAGTTTAGCTTTGATGAACAATGGTATCGAGCCGAAGTTACCTCTACGCCTGAAGATGGTCAATGTGAAGTATGTTTCTTGGACTATGGAGATCGTGAAGTGGTCCAATTAGATTCTATATTGGAACTTCGAATGGACTTTTTAGGTGTACCGATACAGACAATGGAGTTTTCCTTAGCCAACATTAAACCAAGGTGAGTGAATTGATCCTATATTATGTACATGCTTAGGTTCATTGATAAAATATGCCTGTATATTGTTTTGATACCTAAATATTTATAAAACGTACAAGATATGTAGGTCTTTGTTTTTAATAGATACAAAATTATCATTAATACATCTTGGGAATTTACAATTAATTATTAATTTACCTATATCACAAAAAAAAAGAAGGATAAAGTTAATTACTTAATTCACTATCGTCCATATTACTTGATCTTGAACTGCCAATACCAGCTTCACAAACTTCATTAAACAATTCTGGATTCACTTGTTCCATCATTTTCCATGCTAAACTTTTGTTGAGTATAGTTATGTTTTCCTCACAATATGCTAAACTGGCTCTTTTCAATGCATCACAGCCAAATTCATCTGCAACCAGAAGTCTGCTTGCTATATTTTCTGGTGTTATGGTTTCAATGAGATTCCTTTCACAAAGCTCCTTTAATCCTAGAGAATGGAATATAAATTGTTTTATAATTGGCATTATTTCAATTGTTCCATATTGTAACATACAGTACCTTGTAAACAAAAACGTTCAGCAAGAGATAAAAGTTGAGGAGCCAAATTATCAAGGTTATCAACATGATCAGTGTATATGTATCTTAACAATTCTTCAGCCACTTCTTTACTGAGATCCAACAATTCTAGTGAGTATGTGTAGCAGTCCTGAAATGTTACAAATACATAATATTATAGTAGATTCATTTAACAGAAAATCTGATATGTAAAATGATATAGAGCAAATACTCACACTTGAAATTAACAAGCCCAGTTAGAAAAACATCACTCTTAAAAAGTGTAATAATGTTATAAATAATATACAGGGTGTTCAGAGATTTACTAGCCAGCGTTTTTGTCCGAACACCCTGTATATGTTTCTTTGATTATGTTAGTTTAGCATACAAAATAAATGCTACAGGAATAAATTCAAACATTATTTATTGTTCTATAGAAGATTCCATAGAGGATCAAACTCAAGTAACAAAAATTGTTAATTTGTTAATGTGTTTGTTCGACATAAGACAGATTATTTCTAGCATTTCGCAACACGGGTGCAGAGTATCGCCTGGCACGTACGCTAAAAGATCTGTTCTCCTTAGAAATCAAGTTTCCTTCTTGTGGTTCTGACGTATTCGATACTTCTGTGGTATTCGTGTTTGAGTTTTTCCGTCCATCGGATTCACGTATGGGAGACATCATTTCTGCCAGAACGTGACTACGAGCAGCTAATATGCTGCTGTGAACTGGAATCTCTGTATTATTCAAACCGCCACATGATAACTTGGTATCAGCGCTATATGGATGTTTCAACAACTTAGCCATATCCTATGACACAATTTTATAATTAATTTTTTTTTTAAAGTTTAACTTGAAAATTGGAGACTTTGCAAATGTAAGAATTTAGAAAGAGGAGTGTAAGAATTTGGGTCTTTGCAAATTTTATCATTTAGAAATTATTTAATTTAATAATTGAGTTAGTCTTTAATAAATGTATTTCACATAGTGAAACCAAACTATGTGAAATACAGTAGTAGACTAGTTTCCGTGAACAAATTTAAAATTTGACTAGTAGCTAACGTCAAATATTCATCGAGTAAATTTAAAATCATTCTTTGAAGTATATACCTGCGACAAGTTATGTTTCTCGCTTTCGCATTGTATGATCTGTATCTTGACCATCAATGTAATTTCCCCGTTCTTCTTTAAATGCCTGTCGACGATGGATAAATCCCTATATCCTAAGGAAATGATATCTAAACAAGATTTTAGCTCGAGTACTGTTCTGCTAACATGACAGTATTCCCAGTGTTTAACGTCGGCATTGAAAACTGCAAATTGAAATCGTATCTTGGCTTGTTCCGCTTCATCTACGGTGCAGCTCAACATGTTCAGACACAATACCACCGGGTTTATCATTCTTTTGCCTGTCACCAAACACCGTACCATTGTTTCATTTAATAAAATCGATATTTATAATTGTTTCGGACAAGGATAAAAAAATATATACATTAACTGGTCAGTTTGACCAGGGTCGTGTACATTTTATTTGAAACTATGTAAGAATTTTAACTAATTCAAATACTTCGTTATTTTACGAACAGTATAAGAATGTTGATGTAATTCAAATTATTTTCAAATAATTTTGCATAAATTATTTATGTGTTGAAAATTGTAGCAATTGTCCTTACCGTCAGGATTTTTCCAAAACCTGATGGAAAGATTCCAGGTACTGTGAATGCCATTCACGTTCACGTCGAACGATGGACTATCGATGAAGCTTTTCTTTAAAATAGACTTCTTGTAATTTGGTACAGTCCATGTGTATTTAAACACAATGTCAGAGACTGTTGGCACTAGTAGCTCCATTCTTTAATAGCCTCACGTAAATAAGAAAACCTGAACGAGTGAAGAAACAATTCATCATTTGATAATCAAATTAAATTTCTTTCGATTTGTTATATGAGTTATTAACGCATGGTGATCTAACATTCAGCCTTCAAGAATTTGGGGATCTCGGTAAATGCTCATATACGTGAAAATGACAATATAATAAAAGACTATGTATTTTAATATTTAAAACTTTTAACAAGCTGGCTAATATTGTTCCTGCATAAAATTATATACTCGTTAGTACAAATTAATGAAAATTTTTAGTCGAACGTTGTTAGGAAGAAACAATGCATTTCAGCTTTTCAAATTCTTTTTGCTTCAAGCATTGCTTTTCATGCTCTGCTATGACGCAGCACTTTTTGTTCATTTTATTTCGTCCGTTTCACAATTCACTTTCGATTCTTTCCGTCTGTCTAGCAGCAAATGTAATTCTCGTGGTGCAGTATAATTGCAGCGTACAGTCACGATAAAGCTTTGAGAAAGTGCGCAAAACGCTTTGCCGATTGTTAAACTCTCGCGTTGCACATGCACCGGCAAAGTTTTCGGTATAAATCGCAAGTTCAACGGTGGAACACGAACGTTTGGCAGAGTGCCAGTGTACGATCTTAATTTATCTTTATTTAATACGGTAATTTAAAATATGAATAGTTTTTATTTGCATATTTTAGCAACGCCGATGCTGTCTTCCTCGAAGTGTACGATTTGGTAAAAAATTTCGAACGATCGAGTATATCGTGTAAAATTTAATTGCTGGAGATTTACATTTTTAGTTTGAACATGGCTTTGGAGAACGCGAAATCAATAACGATATGAGATATTAAAACTCATACATGAATTTATCGCGAATAAAAGCTCGTTAAAATTGCTGGTGACAAATTTAATCGAGGTTTTGGTGCACAATCGATGGTTTCAATCGAAGATTTTCTGTCAACGGAGATCTGCTCTATACATATTATCAGAGGTGAAATTGTAAAAACAAAGAATTGGAAATGGCAGTACTACAAAGGATTCTATCTATCAGTTGAAAGTTTACAAATGTGGAAATTGGAAAGTTTGGAAATTTGAAAATTAGTACCTTTTCAAATTTGCAAATTGTTAAATATAAAAATTTCTATTAATTTGATATCATATGCAAAAGATTTAATTTAAGATCACCGCGAATAATTTCTTAAACCCGGAAAGAGGGAATCACAGTTATTGTTTATAATCCAGAAATCAATCTTGTGTATCGTGTATAAGATCAGAATGGGGATAAATTCTTCTCGATAGTCGAATGGGAATTTAATCAATCAATCTGACCGAATAGCGCAGCTCGCATCGCGTGCCTCGAAACAGCTAATCATCGTTGCAACCTCGAAGATAATGCACACACGATGGTTTTCGAGTTGGAATTACCGCGGTACCTACGGTGTTCGGTTACACGCGACACAACGAGGGCAAAACCGATGAGTACCTCGTTGCCAAAAACCCGCAGACCACTTCTGAATGCTTTCTATTTCCGTTGCAGTCAATCTCTCGTGCTTCCGTCAACTTCGATTTTTCCCCATTTGAAATGGGATCTCTTTGTTTTCCTGCTGTCAAACCTCTTAACTCGATGGATATCGTTTTAATTCAATTTCGGTTCGAATTTGTACGTTCTTTATTTTGGTATTTACCTTGTAATGTATAAAATTACGCGTTATTTAGATATGCATTGTGTCGTTATATGTTATATTGTGAAAAGTTGTATCACGCGTTTTATAGCTACGCATTATATCCTCATTATTTTTATTACCATATTATTATGCGCTAATATTGCTACATGCTATATCGCCATACGTTGATGTTGACATGCTATATTGCTGTACGTTATTTTGCTATGTGTCATTGTTACGCTTTATGCAGTAGCTACATGCTATTTCGCTGCACGTTGTATGACCACGCGTTAATATCTTCACATGCTATATCACCACGCGTTATATTACTACGTGCTATATTACCACAAGATATATCACCACACGGTATATCACAATGCGTTATATCACCACGCACTATATCACCACACGATATATCACCTTACGCTATATCACCATTTGTTAACATTGCCATGCGCTATATCACCATTTGTTAACATTGCCATGCGCTACATTGCCATACGTTAATATTACTACGCGCTGTATCACCACACGCCATATCACCGCGCGCTATATCACCACACGCTATATCACCATGCGCTATATCACCACACGCTATATCACCATGCGCTATATCACCACACGCTATATCACCATGCGTTATATCACTACACGCTATATCACCATGCGCTATATCACCACACGCTATATCACCATGCGTTATATCACCACGCACTATATTACCACACGATATATCACCTCGGGCTACATCACCATTTGTTAACATTGCCATGCGCTATATTGCCATGCGTTAATATTGCCACGCGCTGTATCACCACACGCTATATCACCACACACTATATCACCACACGCTATATCACCATGCGTTATATCACTACACGATATATCACCCCGCGCTATATCACCATTTGTTAACATTGCCATGCGCTATATTGGCATGCGCTATATTGCCATACGTTAATATTGCCACGCGCTGTATCACCACACGCTATATCACTGCGCGCTATATCACCACACGCTATATCACCGCGCGCTATATCACCGCGCGCTATATCACCATGCGTTATATCACCACATGATATCTCACCACGCGCTATATTACCACACAATATATTACCTCGCGCTATATCACCATTTGATAATATTACCGTGTGCTACATTGTCACGCGCTATATTACCATGCGTCAATCTTGCTACGCGCAATATCATCCTGCGTGAATGTCACTGCCTGATATATCACCATATCTCAATATCGCCACGCATTAATATTATTATGTATTATATAATCTACACGTATAATGTCTGCACACATTGTATCGTCACGCGTTATATAGCCAAACATGTCATGTGACATCTCATGTACTTATTTGTTCATACGAGATTGACATTTATTGAGTAGATTAAAATGTTATGAGGTATATCAAATTTGGCGCAATGATTTGTTGCTACATAACAAATGAATACAGTCCAGTCTCCAGTATGGATGACTAAGACCATCTGTTTGACCACTAAGATTAAAGAGTGAATTGACAAATGAAATAATTGCGTTGGATGATTCTTAATTGACGATAACAATGATATACAAGACAAATGCAGGTTGACCAAGATAAATCATCTCTACGTTCTATATTGCTGGTAGTAATAAGATACCAGAATTGCATGGTTTATGCAGTTTATTTGCAACTCAATATAACGATGAGTTGATATTCGAGGAATTTACTCATCGAGTCAAATATTAATTGACTCCATTTTTGTGATACATGCGAATCAAATGACAGTGCAAAATTAGAACGATGTAAAGGCGTTTAAGATTTTTATCTCCACATTGTCAACTTGCATTACGATGCTAATAATCATAGAAATACCAGTACGGTTTTTTGTCATTTTTCGTTTTTGTTCATAGTACACGATCATTCCAAACGTGATGTATTCAAAATACAGCATGTAAAGCATTGTTTGGCAACAGTGGTAAGCTTAGTAACGTTCCTGTTTGACATTCAAACTGCACCACTCGACACTATTTCGCGTCGAAAAGCCACGAAAATACACGTCTACAATGAAAATGCGTACTTACGTGCATACGTACATACGCGTCCGGTATAACGTTCATTAATGCGTCTAGCATAAAGTGCATCGAGTTCAGCTAGACTTCTCACGAATTCAGTTTTCTGCACTGTGCACACCGTGTATCATACGTGTTCACTTTTCTCCATACCATGAATAAACACCGAATGAAGATAATTTAAATTCACTATATATTTGCAGTATACGCTCGATTAATTGTTTAATTACCGATGAAATTAAGAGTTTCAAGTCAATAATTTTATCTGATTGTTTTTTGTTGTATTGCCACCGCAGTGTTCGTATTTAGTACTATACAAAATAATCACCGGTACTTGTGCTCTATTTTATACCTTATCCTTCTGCGTCCCTCTTTTTTTAACGAGGATATTGTTCACCACGAAGATCGTGAAACGACTGAGACAGTGTGACCATTACCGAGAGACTATGCTCATCGTCCACTTCATCTTCTCGCACGTGTACACTTGTGCTGTGCAGTTTATAAATGGAACAAGATGCCCCGAAACTGCTTAAACCTTGGTAAATGGGGGTGCTTCACGCACGTGTTCTTTGTTTCGTGCAACGATAGCTCTATCACCTTCGAGTTCCGGCTAAATCTCGGTTCGGAAACAGGGTTAACGGTAATTGTACCGAAGAAACGAGAGTTACATGAAATGCGGATAATTGAGTCGAGAAGAAAGTAATTTAAAAATCGAATCTGATACCTGGAACCTTTTTTACCGTTGCCTGTAATGGTAATTAAGCAGAGTTAATCTCTACGTTCTTTTAATTTCAAATTTTCCAATTTTTTCATTTGCAAATTATCTTATTTGCAGATATTCAAATTTTTATATTTTGCTGTCGAATTTATAAATTTAAAAATTTTTTAATTATGCAATTTGCAAACATTCAGATTTCCATATTTATCGAACATTAAATTTCCTAATTATCAAATTATACAATTTTCCACTTTGCAGATACTCAAATTTCTAAATTTCTTATGACATATGAAGACTTCATATGAACACTTATGAACATTCTTATTCTGATATATACTACATTCTTCAATTTAGTAATCTAGTCACAAGTATATATTGTATGTGTACACATTTCTGAATCTGTTTACCGATTAACGACCACAATTCTTGATAATGTATAGCACCAGTATTTACATGTTTGTTTGTTTGCACTCTGGCTCAATCATTCGGTTACAGTAACACGTGTAAAATTAGTGCGAGGAAAATCACTAATGCTTAATGCATCATTGCACGAAAATCGTTCAAATATTTTGACACAGGTTCAAGTACAAGTGAAATAACATTTCACGTAAACTCGATAAGAAATCTATTACTTAAAAGTACTACGCTTATATTCAATAAAGTATATCGAAAGTAAAGAAATTATGTTAAATGTGTAACGAGACGAAATAACATTTCTGTGCATACGATTCTCTTTCTGTTGCCAAATTGTTGACAAATTTATTACGCTAAATTCCGTAGTAACTTCGCAATTTGAGGGTTCACCACGGCCAATATCTACGTGGAAAATTGTCCAATGTTTCATTAGGCATGAGCAATAGCGAACAATAAATAATCGTAAGACTCCGAGTTCAGATTTCATGGTTGTCGATGTGTAAACACTAAACATGTTGCAATGAAAACAAAAATCATGATATTTACTCGTAGAAAATTGAAGGAATTTATAAATGACCGAAGAAAGATTAACTCAAATAAAATGATACATTAGTTAGTTACATCAATAATAAAATAATATAACACATCACTCAATAACTCTCCGGTCTAACTAAGAAAAACAAATTTTTTTTTAGAAATTCCACTTTAATCATCAATATACTTTCCTTCCAGTGTGATACATTGATTCCAACGCTCCTCTAACTTTTCAATTCCCTTTATATTAAACGATTTGTCTTTGCCCCCAAAATAAGCTTCAGTTTCCGTAATCACTTCTTCATTTGAGCCAAATTTCTTTACCTGGAGCATCTTTTTCATATCTGCAAAGAACCAGTAGTCGCTGGGGTCCAAATCTGGGGAGTACGGTTTGCGGGGAAACAATTCAAAACGTAATTCATTCAATTGAACCATCGTGTTCATCGACTTGTGACACGGCGCATTGCCTTCGTGAAACAGCAAACGCGGCACACACTTTGAAAGCAATTTGCACATGCCCAAATTTTCTTGCAAAATTGTGAAGACACTACCTTCTGATATCTTCAAGGCATCAGCTATCTCACACAACTTAAGTTTACGGCCCTTTAAAACTATTTTGTGGACATTTTTTATGTTTTCCGGAACGACTGCTGATTTTGGGCAACCAGAGCGTTCAGCATCATCGGTGCTTGTATGACTGCGTTTAAATTCAGCATACCAGTCAATGATAATCGATCTTCCTGGTGCAGAGTCCCTATAATGCTTATCAAGTCACTTCTTGGCTTCAATAGTATTTTTTTTTATAAAAAAACAGTGTTTAATCAGCACACGAAATTCCTTTCTATCCATTGTCTTTAAAATTACGAAACTGGGGGTACTAAAATGACTGTAACTTCTAAACTATTGGTTAGAATACCATGAAATTTTGACACGTACTGTTTGAAGGTTAGTATTATTCAAAAATAACGTGGGTCTGTCACCAGTGCCGCCATATATGTGTCAGACCGGGGACTTATTGAGTGACGTGTTATGTTATGATTAGTTCGGTTATATTAATTCAGATATATGTATATATAAAATAACTTAGTAGAAAAAATTAGTAGAAATTTTATTAACTCCCTCGTTATCGAATGCTTTATGTAGGAATAAGATAATTGTCAGAGTTAATTTTTAATATGTTTTAATTTTCTATGATTCAGAGAAAACGAATGGAGCAGCGAAGCCTGCAAGAAGTTCGAAGAACTCACTTGGTTAGCTCAGTGGAAAGTCTTGATAGCCAAAATCAGAGGCTACAAAGAACGAACTCGCAGCTATAACATATCTCGTCGCGCAGGAATACCAATTCCTTGTGTCGATCTTTTCGACAAAATCGACGATACGGTACTTCATGAACAATATTTAATAATTACTAGTTTGTTCTCGACTTAACAATTAGTAGTCTATTCTCGAGTCAGCAATTGGTTTGCTATTAATCCTTCATTGCATAACTTCATTAATTTCACAAAATGTAATACCGTTTTGAGTTCTCAATAATTTTGATAATAGTAAAATATCGTTCATTTATGTTTGCCAATTTATATTCAGTTTTAATCTTTTGTCGGACTCACGCAGTACATTAATATCGGTCAAGAGTTGATAAACGAGGGTTTCGCCGAGCCAGAAGAAGCAGGGTTATGGGAAGCTTATTCAAAGTTGTCCTTATCTAATCGAAGCCACGATGTGTCGAGTATCTCAACTTCTGCATCAACTTCTCCGTTGACGAGACGAGCTCAGAGTCCCGAAACACCCACAAACATTCTACGTAAATTGGAGTCTGAATCGCCACACTCACCCATCACCGATCCTGAAACACCCGTCTCGACGATGCAGCGTAATATGGAAGTAATCGATCTTGTAACACCACAGGTGAGACTCTATATACTTCAATGTCTGTTTAAACTTTAAACGTTTGACGGCAAAGGAAACTTTTTGATCTCTTTTATCATTTAGAATTTGGAGTTTTCAGGGCGCACGTCTGCTGTGAGATTATACAGGGTGTCTACTTTCAATCCCTCCACGAATTTGGCAAATGAATTACTTATTCACTTTCTCAAAACTATAAATCTATAAACGTAAGTTCTGTTTAAAAGAGGGTACTGTATTTACTTTGAAATGTACATGGAGTTGGTGTAGTTTTATTATATGGCTTTAAACAGTGTAGAAGAGGAGAATATTATAGAAATATGGAGCAACATAAAAATATTGTTTTCAAGGACATATAGTTTGTTTATCAGTATAATTGTCAGAGTATATTGAAGTAAGACACCCTGTGTATAAAAATATTATGAAGTCCTCTTTTTACCGAAAAGTTTGTGGAGTTCGCAGACATGGTCGAACAAGAAACGATTTCTTCCGTGTAATAGCGAAACGGGATCGAACGTGTAATAGAAAGTACATTGACATCCGTTTTTCCGTCTCGCCACGGAAAGCACGCTCGCTTGCGGTTAACCGTTAAATCCTCGAACACAACCGGGTCATTAGCAGCCTCTGTATCGATTTCTTTCAGAGACGACACGGTGTACCGATCGAGTTAATCGATCTTGCGACGCCGGTGAAGGACGAGACGAGTCGGTTCATCGACAATGAGAAGAAAGTAAATCGAGAGGACGGGGGCGGTGATTATCTACGAAACGGAAATAGCAATCAGCGCGACAAATCTTACGATACACACTTGAAAATTGAAAAATCATCGAAAATCGCTCCGGCTGGATATGAGAGCGATCTCTCCAATGACTCGGACGAATTGGAATTGGGGTAAATAAATGAAACGACAAAAGAAGCTAGATACCCTAATGTTGATTTGTTAGCCATTTCCTTTAGCTTTATAGACATCGAGATCAACCATATAGAATTAGTTTTCGAAATAATATAACTCACAAGGTCTCGTGTGCTTTGCGTACTGTTCTTAGCGTATTGGAGATTGTTTTTTTTTTCTTTTTATTTAATACGTTTCATGCCACGTAAAACAGAGACTTAATAGATTTAAAAGTTATATTTTATTTAAGTTGCAAGTGCTTACTTTTACATTGTTTCTTCGTTTCATGAAAAGTTTGTTAATTTGATTGTAATTAAATAATCAGAAATTAAAGTTTCCATATAAAATTGTCAAATTAAGTATTACTGTTTAGTTTGTATAGATTTAAAAAATTCAACTAAAAACTAAATATTTTTTGTTTCTGTTTACAACGCTTTTAATAAACAATGAGTCTGTAACTTACGTAGCACGGAATGTACTAAATTCTAACTTTGTACACTCGCTTCTTTTACCTTGATAAAACCGTGTATAAATCTACATTTTGTAGTAAAAGTAGTACAAAAACACTTATTTAAGAAGTAAACTTATTTAAAAATACTTACTCAATATAAATTTAATAATTTATATTGAAGATTGATTGTCCGGTTAGAGTTAGAAATGAAATACCACAATGACAATTGTTTTGTACGATTTGTCTTGTGAAACTATTACATTATAAAGGAGATGAATCTTTTTAATATAATAAGAGAAATGACTTTGAACAGTCAGTTGGTCTCGAACAGAGTGATACATTTATAAAGTTTTTTGTACGAGTGATTTTGATCGTTGACACGCGTTTTTTATCACACAGCTTTTTATATTATACATCAAAGAGCGTTGTGAATTGATATTGAATTTCTGGTAACTTTATTTCATTGTTTTTTTGATATTTAGAATAAAATTCATGTATTTTAAAATTCGGATAAGTGATAACGATAGGAAAGTAGTCATTCAACATCTATCTAGAAATTATTAGGGAAAGCAACAGCGCAAAAGTTTGGCTACTTTGCTCAATAAAGATGTGTTTAATCTGAAGGAAAATATTGGAAACGATGGACGATGTCAATGTCAAAATAGCGTGCAATTACTAATTATAAGAATTACTTTATGGAATTGTCAGAAAGATTTTGACAGTATTTTTTTATTCGCGTTTATTTTGAAAAGTGATAATTTCAAAGGTGATAATTGCATAGTGTGATAATTAAAAATTGTAAAACAAAAAAAATATGAAATTATAAAACTCGTAAATTTAATGAAATCTGTATTCATCAAAGCCTTAAATATTGTTATTATAAATACCTTTCATGTTCTTTAGGAAATTTGTCGAATTGGATATCGTCCTTGATACTTACTTTTATTCAATCAATCATTCCTTTATTTGTAATTCAGTACTATAACAGAACTTCTACTACGAATCTATCGAGTTTCAGTGAACAAACACCAATGAAAACGAGAAGATATTGACTGAATCTTGTTTACGTCCGCTTAGTCGTTTAATCTCGTTTCTGTTTTGCCACTCCTTGCAAGATACATATTCAGTTTTATCGATGACCTACTATAATCGAGTGAATCTCTAATTATTTTCAACGAAACCTGTCGAATAAACTGCATATGCAATAGCTACTAGACATCTTTCTTATTGAAGTTTCATCAACAGACTTTTTAATGCCATATATTACGAAAAATAATTAGCGAGCCTTTGATCGCTGACAAGTTGTACTGTGATTAAAAGAATACGAATTTCCTTTCAAATATTAGTTATTGTTGAATTGTAAAACAATTTGCGAAACATAAATAAGATTTTAAGTATCCGAATCAAGCGTTCGAGGCTTAAAAATTGCTCATCTTGGGAAAATTTGAAACGATAAAAGTTAAGACACGTTAAGAACAATTGAACGAAGCACCGTAAAATCCCGAATATCTTCCTAATACTTCCATATAGTTGTAGTGCTACACTTTAAGTCGTACCTCGTTTCCTCAGTAACTATGTACTTTATAAAACAAGCTGAAATTTAACACGCTGACTGCCATAAGAGTCGGTGGCCTAATATTTTATTCGTTCAGTTGAAAAATAGAGGATCCTCTTTCAACAGATCTTTGATAAGTCAAGTTAGACGTTCTCTAAATCAGTGATGGACAAAACTACCCGCTGAAATATTTACGATTTCTGAAATTAAAAAGGAAATCTAAAATTTTAAGAATTTGTTTACCGAAAATTTAGAGAAGTTTTAAAATTTCGAAAAGTCATAAAAATTTTATAACGGTAGAATGCGGATAGAATTGCCCATCGCTCTAACTGTCTCTATTAAGAGAAAAAACCTAATTGAACTAATGGATACGGCTATTTTCTACTTTTCTACCAGTCAACGTGTTAAGAGACCGTACGCGTTAAATCGCTTCGCGCATAATCGCTTTCTTCGAAAAATAGCGCATAAAAAGAGAATGTAACTATTACGATGTAAAATGTCGAGGAAGACCTATGTACATAGTGGGTCGTATATTTTTATAAGAAAAGAATAATCGAAGAGAAATATGTATCATTTAGTAATTAATCAGAGAAAGATTCTTGATGTTTAACAAAACTCGTTATTGTTACTTTTAGTTATGTTTATTCTTTTGTTTTCGCGTTATTTTAAGAACAGTTGATTGATCGACTGCGACAGACACGCAAATCTGTATGATAATATAGATTCCAAGAATACATAGAAGCTTCGTTTATTTGATGTCCTGCATGAATCTGTTTACTTTCATTAACATTACTGGTGATGGGCTGATTTTGACTTCGAATATTATCTTCTAGATTTAAGGTTTTTGAAGATTTTGGTCTTGAAAATTTAAAAAATCTTTAACAGCTCACTGATTGTATTAGATGTTTGTACCAATAGGAAGTAATTAGCATAACATACATTTTTTATCATATGCTTAAATTCTTTGCAGCAGTCTATTACAAAAAAATAGTCAGCAATTACTCAAAAAAATAATCAGTAAATTTTGTAAGACTTTCGAGATTAACATTTTCGAAAGGTGTAAAGTTATAGTATTTTTATCTATTATCAACGAAGCTTTAAACAGTATTCAGAGATAATTTCTGTTCTGATTGCAATCTTAACTCATAAATAAATTCATTACAGAACGAGATATTATTTCTTTATTTATTATAAAATAAAAATGTTCTAAAAACGCCATTGTGCTTAATAACTATCGAAGTGCAAGAAAGAGAATATTAACCCTTCTTCACAATTGGTAAATGTAAACTTTTAGAACTTGGTTTAATAACACGAAGTTTCGAATATAGTAATTATATTAACACATTCGCTACCACGCTCGCATATGAACGCTTGAACTTCCACAGTAGTCCCACGATGAAAAAATTATCTTAATTATCTAATTACAAATTCACGTATGCTTGAAATATTAACAATATCCTAATAAAATTTTCAACAGCTTCAGCGTTGTAGCGAATGTGTTCTACAAATATTTGTAGAACTATGGCCGCCATAATGAAAGAAGGGTTAAAGCGCCCATCACTATTTTAATAATCGCGATGTGATCTTGTGTTTTCTCGATGATAAAATGTACAACATAAATGAAGATTCTAACGAATAAAATGATCGTTCTCTAAAGTTCTATTTATCTGTTCACCTCTAACGGAACCCTAAATCGTTTCCTTTCACTTGATCCATCGTGTTGCTTTCTCGGATTACGGCATCGTGATACCAGACCAACGATTTTTCGGGGTTTCTTGTCCACGAGTAAAAGTCGAAGCGTAGACAACCGCAAAAAGGAGAGGACAAAGCCCTCGGTGAAGAAGAGTAGTAGTGGTAGTAAGAGGACGAGGAACAAACGATATCGGAAGTTGCTGCACTGGAACAGTGAGTACAACTTGCTTGTCTGTCTACCAACAACTGATGCGTATCTGTTTTCACTGTTATCCCTTTGAGATTCTATGTCCAGTGTGACTGCTCATCGATTTCTGTTCCAGTAGACATTATGTTCATTGTCATTGACCATTGAATGTATGTTTCACTATAGATTCTCGCTATTTTGCCTACTATTCGTAGAGTAGTAGAGGAGAGGTGTTGTAGAGGTGAAGTTTTTGAAATTAGGAAGAGGGTTTTACCTTTTAGGACATTTATCAAGACGTCAAATGAAATATAACTCAAATTAGGGAATTCCCAAACTTTCAATTAAAATTTACAAGTTATTGAAATTGTCAAATTAATGGTAGTCAAATCAAATCAAGTAGCGAAAATTAAATTAAATTGTCAAATGAGCGAGCTCATAAAATGAATTGAATTCGGAGAAGAAACAAACACTGCCTAAGTTGCGTTTTATTGCTAGATACTAAACAGGAATTGAAAAGTTGGTTTTATATTGGTCACCGCGATAATCATAGCAGAATAAAGTAAATATCGGGTAAGAAGCACTTGAAATAATCGTTGTCGCTTGGTGGTGTTCAGTGATCGGGGAAAATGAGAAAGCTGTGGCTGAGCGAAACGTATAAAACGATGTTAGTTCGACCACTCTCTTCAGTTCGTCTAATATCTGACCTATCGACGTCAACGAGCAGACTTGCGATGAATAATTCGGTAAATTGCTATTTCTCTTAATTATCGTATCATTGTGATCTGTTACTACGTTAGAAAACAATAGCAAGTTTAAAACGTTAAAACGATATCTTACACTTTTGTTGTTTTTATAAAAGTGGTCTGAATACTACCATTTTCATCTCAGGACATATGGTCAAACCTGTTAAATATTTCAAAAATATAACATGCTTGCTTTATGATCTAAAATTAAAATAAAGGTAACGTTTGCTACAAAGAGTTTGCTATGTTCATTTTTTAAAGCATGGTCTAAATATGAAGAAACCTAAAAAATAAAGTATTTCAAAATGCAAACTCTGATATTTAGATTTCTTCCTCTGAATATCTGAATGTGATTGTAAATTAAAAATTGGTAAAAGATGTCAGGGTACAGATCTTTGCAAATAATACTATATAGCTCGAATGGATACAATGCTATATTTAAATTTTTTGGAACTACACTACGTGACTTAAGATCTTTCAACATATTTCAGTCATGGAAGTCGATAAAGTGTAAATAATTATGATCTTAAATTTTTTCGAATATCTCTGAAATTAAAGCCGAGCGACGGTTATATCTACAGAGAAAATTTGTTCAGAACGTCCTTGATAGCATATTTCAAGGTCATTGAAATCGGTGAGGTGTACACTTTATAATATATTTTTTAATGCATTAACTGATTCAATTTATCGATTATTACAAAAGAGTATTAAGCTATTTAATACAGTTTAGTATAAATAATAAACTCGTGTTAATCTTCAGTTTATTTTGTCAAAAATATTTTTCGAGTTTTAAAGACATTTTAAATTGAAATTTTAAGTAATTTAATTTTGTCACGAAATATATTTACTTAAGTATACATATTTGGCGGTAAATAAACAGTGCGTGGGATAATTGAAATTTTCCTGTTAAATTTGTCCAAGGATGGGTCTTTGTAATTGCAATCCGTTACCTTGACCTTTTTCGCGTATCTCTCGGGTCTGATATTAAATAATTACGCATTCGTGCTTGAAGTGCCTCATCGAAACCTGCATCGTTACTCGAATCGACGGGAAGAAAATTATTGTACATGGAACGAACCATCTTTCCGATGTCGTTAACAAATAGTTCAGTAAAATTAACTTGAACGCAACCAAGCACTGCAGAAGTTTAATTAAGTACCGTCGATCGTTGTCACTGAATTATCTTTCATTCCGAAAGAACCTTGACTTCTTTGATGTCTTAAAGTTAAATATTGAGAAACTAAAATGCAGTGGAAAGAACACAAATTAGATTCTTTTTACAATTATAATATATGATTATTTTACAGATTTTGAAATTTTGTAGAGAGATACGTTACGTGTTTTTATTTTAGAACTTTGGAAATGTAGCAATTTGGGATGTGCAAAATTTTTAATCTAAAGATTCCAAGGTATGGAAATTTGGAAGCTGGAAAATTTGACAATTTGAGAACTCAGAACTTGTTTAGTATAGGCATTTGGAGATATGAAAATTAGAAAATTTACACATTTAAAAGTTTGACAATTTGGGGATTCAGAACTTGTTTAGTATAGGCATTTGGAGATATGAAAATTAGAAAATTTACACATTTAAAAGTTTGACAATTTGGGGATTCAGAACTTGTTTAGTATAGGCATTTGGAGATATGAAAATTAGAAAATTTACACATTTAAAAGTTTGACAATTTGGGGATTCAGAACTTGTTTAGTATAGGCATTTGGAGATATGAAAATTAGAAAATTTACACATTTAAAAGTTTGACAATTTGGGGATTCAGAACTTGTTTAGTATAGGCATTTGGAGATATGAAAATTAGAAAATTTACACATTTAAAAGTTTGACAATTTGGGGATTCAGAACTTGTTTAGTATAGGCATTTGGAGATATGAAAATTAGAAAATTTACACATTTAAAAGTTTGACAATTTGGGGATTCAGAACTTGTTTAGTATAGGCATTTGGAGATATGAAAATTAGAAAATTTACACATTTAAAAGTTTGACAATTTGGGGATTCAGAACTTGTTTAGTATAGGCATTTGGAGATATGAAAATTAGAAAATTTACACATCTGAAAGTTTGACAATTTGGGGATTCGGAACTTGTTTAGTATAGACATTTGGAGATATGAAAATTAGAAAACTTACACATTTGGAAGTTTCGCAGTTTGAGGATTTCAAATTTGAATATTTACAAATTCTTAGTCTGAGAATCTGAAAAATTGACAAATTGAGAACTAGAGAATTTGACAATTTCAAGCTTACAAAATTCCCTAAAACTGAAAGCAAAGGAAACCTCTGTTGCAGCTTAATCCAGTACTCTCTATAATACTTGAATATCCTTTACAAATCATGATACCAAACTTACATAAAAATTAGTCTACCTGATTCAAATTTTAACTAACAAGGAGTTAAATATCTTATACTATTTCAGATAGTAACGTTGCTTCTGCTATGCGGCGTTTATGGTGTTTTGGCCGGGCGTCGCTACATCGCTATTCCAATCGATGGTGTCGATGTGATCGAACTGAGTCCCGTCTCGATACCTGTACCCAGGATCACTCGACAAACCGAGGCATATATACCCGTAGAAGTTCCTAATGTCTCTCAGGAGGAGCTGAAGAATCCTCGAGCTGAAAGATCGACCGCTCACATCTTGGATTACGTGGATTTCGGTGGACAAACTAACTCTAATGGCGCATTCAGTTGGTACGCTGATTACCCAGCTCATCATTGATCAACCTAAATCGATAGACCCTACAAACGAATGTACGAATCTACGAATTCGAATTTCGAAACTCAAGGAATGGAAATGTTATACGTATACTCAATCATTCTATCGTTTGATGAATTTTCACCCAGATCCACTAATTGACTATGGTACAATGATTATGATCGAATTCATACTTCAAGCTTCTGTTATTAAAAATTTCTGATATTTGCAATTTGTAATATTTAAAAATGATTTCTTGTTCATTTACGATGGAATGTTTCTTTTTTATTAATTAGTTGTAAGTTTGAATATACTGCCAAAACTGTATGGATACAGAATTCTTTGTTATTTTAGTTTGATAAGGAATATTATACGTTATACATCGTTATCGCAGTTATCGTTTCAACTGATTACTGTTTGAATAAAATATAAGGAATATTGTTGATTTCATAACCTTGCTTTAACGAGTATTCATGTAAGCATTATTTAAATGATATACGTATGTACTTGTTATTAAGATGTATACATTGTTATATTCTGCACTTATTATGGAATGACTGCTTTTAGTTATTGTTACAATAAAATTGATTTTTGAGAATTTTTATTACTAGTTATATTGATATTTGAATTTGATAATATTGAACGTTATATTATATTAAATTGTGTGATTAATATAGGTAATTACAATCACAACATTTTAATCGACAAAATTGCAAATTCTTGAAATTAGTCTTTGATTGAATAATCAGGGAAAGCCTATAAGTTATTAACACTTTAATGGCCGCGCGCCTACGCAGTCAAACGTTGCCAGGGGTAACATTTCTAAAGAATTCATTTTAACAAGCTCGATGTAAATTTATGAATTTATTCAACATGTGCTAACATACACATAAATCAAAAAGTAACAATTTAATAAAAAATTTAATAATACACAAACAGTTTAATTTGTAAAATACGGTAGCTTTGGATACGACACGTAGAGCCATTTGCTCTATAATTGGTGCACCAATGTAGTGTAAAATATAAAATTAAAAACAGGGAATAAAACAATAATTACCTAAGATCAAAGAGGTAGCGGTGAAATAAGAGGCCAATAGCAATATCCACATTCATAATTCACATATTGTGTGAGTGACCACTAAAGTGTTAATAAATACTAAATATCCAGTTTTTACATTCTAAAACCATAAACTCTATTTATTCTAATATCCTAATCACAGTAGTCCATTAGTTTAATAACAAAACATGTGGTAAGCATTCAAAGTTACATATGTTCGAATATGTCTGTCTGAGCGTTACATATGTACACGCATTACCATCATCGAATCAATATACTCACCTCGGAAACCACTATTCCAATCGAATATATTTACATAGTCGTAACGCAATTGCTATGCATCAATTTTACTGACAACAGCAAAAATTTGAAGAAAACACAGGAAACAAGGATGGATGGGATTTCCATGTACGAATTCTATGTAACTTAAAAGTATTCAGAGTAATAATATTTTTATTTTTCCGGTATATCATACCCATTGTTACAATACAATAAATAGCGAGAGAACGACAGTATCCTTGTGTCTCTTATTTTTTTTGTTTTGTTTTACGTTAATATCTATAGCTTTTTTAGGTACAATGATAACAATCTCGTCGAGGCGAACATCATTCCTATCCGAGGCGGAATTAAATTTAACGAGCCAACGATTTTCACGAATCACGAATCCTTTAAGTACCTTTATATCTCAGCCATCTCGAGAGCCGGCAACAAACGGTGAGAAACGATAGGATCGATTGGAACGCTCGTTATTATTCTCGTCACGCTCTTCCTTTCGATCTCGTTTCGGTTTCCTCGCTCTTTTCACGCTCGTTTTAACTCAAATTTTCACGAAATCGACGAAACACGCGACGATCATCCTTAGTCATTATCATTTGTAAGTACCGGTGGATGCAGGAACGACTTCTGGACAATTAGGCTCTTTTTTTTATAAAATCTATCAAAACAATGTTTCTTCAAATTCAACCTTCAGTGCCACATATGTACAGAAAACACACACATATCTATACATATGCATAGAAAGGTAAATGTTTTCTATTTTTTAATGATTTTGATACATGCATAAGAAGATTCAAGTTATGTAATTTCGATTATAATAATAAAATTATGAAGAAGAAATCTCGTACTTCTAAATATTACAAATAATTATTAATCCGTAAAAAGTTTATAACATGTCAAAAATTAAAATTCATAAAGAGATACTTTTTTAAAAAACTGATTTTTGACATTGAAGCCTTTATTGCATCCAACAGCACACTTTTAGTCAATGAAATAGATCGAGCGTATATAGTTGTTTTTCTATGATAAAAAATATTTCAGGAACTTAAGAGAGTGAACAATATTGTCAGCAGATTTTCTTAAGTAGCGGATATGAATGATTTTATGAAATCCAAAATACACAATACAACCAACAGACTAACCCTTCGTTGACTTTTCCAGTTTTATGAGAAAATACATTTCTTAGTCCTTTGAAATAATAATTAGAACATAATGACATGTTTTTGCAACGAAGGGTTAACTATGAATAATTTTTGTCGCGCAGAACAGGTCGAGCTTACGAGAATCTCAATTATACATACGAAATTAAGTTATAAATGTTACAGTAGGGGAAACCTCAGCGAAGATTTTATATTCAAAATTTGGCGCGCGATGTGACGCGATTTCGAGAGAAGTCGTTCTGATCTTGAACCGAATCGACTCTGAAGAATTTAATTTTAAAAATTAATAAGTTTGTGAATTTCATGTTTAGAAATTTCTAGTATTAGAAATTTTCAAATTGCCAATTGTATATCTCCTATATATCTTCTAGATATATAATATCTAATATATTAATAAGATCTTTTAATTTTCAATTTTAGTAATGTATAGAAGTATTCCCTCAAGTCCATCCGATTATCTCCGACTTAACCCGAAATAATCTAGCTATACAAAGGGTTTGTACACCGAACTTGCGCGACTTTTTCCGATCCAGTTAGAGCGCGAAATATAAAATACACCCGTAAAATTAAAACTAACATCATTTACCATATCTATCTTCTTGCATATTCACTTCTTTGTTATAATCTTGAGAGACGAATTTTTCTGAACGTTAAAGCAACAATGATCGATTTGATGCTTGTTCTTTCACATAATTGCTCGTATCCTGTTCCGCACTAAGGCCTCCACGTAAATACACAATCATAGCTAGAACATTGACGATCGTTGAAACACTCATTATTTCTTAACGTTGTGATTTTTTTACGGCGTTCAGGTAGATCGTTTCGCGCGAAAAAAACACGATGTTTGTCGCTGGTCATGGCGTTACATTACGTAAACGTATCGTGGCTTAGAAACGTTTTTCTATGATAACTATGAAATCACTCCACTTTGAACGCATTTTCGTTTGACAATCGCTCGCAGGAAAGAGAAATAGGGTAAACTATATAATGATTGGCACTTTAAACTCTATGTTTAAAAATTTATTCAATGAATTTGTATTTTACGTCCATAAACTAAAACCAGTTAAGTAAAGATTTATAATTATGAAATATACTATAAGTACAAGAAATTGATATACGATAATTTTACGACGGAGTATGAAATTTTATACAAAAAACATAATCCATGGCTTTTCCAAATTTGACAATTGAAAAAAGTTAATTCAAGACATAATGTAATAATTAATATAGTGCCAAAATTGATATAGCTTACCCCACATGATCGCGTATGTACTTAGAAAAGTAGATGAAAGTATAGTAAAAAAATTATTCCTTCTTTTTGTACTCAATGAAAACATTGGTCCATTTGTACAAATTTATAAAAATCAAAGTAAACGTTCTCATAACGTACCGTTTAAAATTTGAACATTCATACGTGCAAATTTTTCGTACGTTCCAATACTCAAAAATAAAACCCCAATTTAAACAGAACAGATGCTTTGTGCGGAAGTGAGTCGAAAATATAAAATGAAGGAAGTTCTACTTTCGAGGAAATTGAAATACCGAACGTTGTTCCATTTAACAATGGAAATTGAACAACGTTGCATAACTATTTTGCAGCGCGTTGCCATAATTTATCTGAATCACAAACCCACGACGCAAAACTTTGGAACGGGGATAAAGAAGTATCTTAAAGCACAATCGCGAACGTAACGCGTTGTATTGAATGTATAATATAACGAGAGCTATAAGCGTACGGTGGTCGAACACGTTACCGTTGTACTTAAATGGCATTAAATACGGCACTGAGGCACGTGTTCGTCTCGCAGCGTTGAGCATAAACGTATTAGGTGTGTCGTGGAGGCAGATTTATAAGTCGATGCAGTTCTAACGAGATTCAACACGGAAACGAGCAACTGAACGTTTTTCTTGAGATTCTACAAAGTTAAGTCGGCGGTTCCGTAGATGCTAGCGTGTGTCACAGAAGGGTGCTTACTCTGGATTCTACGTTTATTTCTCAATTTTCAGATTTGGAAATTTCGAAGTTTGGTTATTTGAAGATATTGAAGTTCTGCAATTTGATGAGCTGAAAGTTTGATACTATAGTATAGAAATTTAGAAATATGGAAATTCGAGAGTTGGGTATCTTGAGAATTTGGAATTTTGAGAATTTGGAATTTTGAGTATTTAGAATTTTGAGAATGTGGAATTTTGAGAATTTGGAATTTGGGGAATTTGGAAATTTGAGAATGTGGAATTTTGAGAATTTGCAATTTTGAGAATGTGGAATTTTGAGAATTTGGAATTTTGAGAATTTGGAATCTTGAGAATTTGGAATTTGGGGAATTTGAAATTTTGAGAATGTGGAATTTTGAGAATTTGAAATTTTGAGAATTTGTAATTTTGAGTATTTAGAATTTGGGGAATTTGGAATTTTGAGAATTTGGAATTTGGGGAATTTGGAATTTTGAGAATTTGGAATTTGGGGAATTTGGAATTTTGAGAATTTAGAAATTTGGGAATGTGGAATTTTGAGAATTTGGAAATGTGAAAATTTGAGAATATTGAAGTTTTGAGAATTTGGAATGTTGAAAGTTTAAAATTTTGAGAATTTGATATTTTGAGAATTATGAATTTGAGAATTTTTTAAATTTGGCAATTACTAATTTAGAGAATTCGAAAGTTCAGAAAGTTGAATATTTCATGACTTGAACATTTGTAAACTGAAATCATAATTACTGCCTTACAATTAATCTAAAAACCTCTGAACGCAAATATCATATTTCACAACAGGGGCGGTATAATTTTGCAAAATTATTCTTATGGTCCCCTATAATTTCCGCTTCATGAAAAATAGAAACTGCGATCAATCTTCTAGAAGCATAAAATTCGCGCATAGAATTACTTTAAAAAAAAAAAACCGTGATCTCAGTAATCGTTAATGTTAACTTTTCAGACTTCTCTATCCTTCTTTCGAACAAAAGATATTACGTACAGGTAGATGGTATCGTTTCGCATAACATAACTAAATTTACTCGTAGTCACGCGAGATAGGTTTCGTATCCACGAAGTTGTTGGCCGACGTTAGAACCGTGCGCCTCGTGGCAGCTGTTGCAAGAATAAAAAAAAATGAACGGAATTAATTGCAAGGCTTTTTGCTTCTGACATTATAAACCATAATAACATCGTTGATAAAGCTACGTTATCGTGCTCGTTTCCACAAAGTTACACATTTTAACCTTTTACTTTTGTATTTAAATGCCATCGCACTGCTTTGAAAATTTCCTTCAGCATCGCTATCTTGATAAAAGGCAAATTTTTTTGTTAATAAATTAAAATATTTGAAAGTAACATGTTTCTTATACTGATATTACTGTATGTATTTTAATTCGTATTCATTATTTTGTTCTTTACAGTTAGAAATTGGTAATTGCAATTCTGTAGGTATTATAATGCATGACATTTAGTTTTCATTATTATCAAACAATTTCTTCTCAAAATAAGAATGTCTGACTGTAAATCTATTTTATTTAAATGTAGGTGGTACATGTAAGTAAAGAAATATGATTTATTTTAACAAATTTTTGTTTTGAATGACACACTTGATGCATTTATTGTTACGCGTATTTATATTCAAAATTTGGCGCGCGATGTAGCGCGGTTTCGAGTGAAGTCGGAAAAGATCAGTTCCGATCTTAAATCGAATCGACACTGAAGAATTTAAATTTAAAAATTAATAAGTTTATAAATTTCTGGTATTAGAAATTTTCAAATTGCCAATTGTATATCTTCTAATTTTCAATTTTAGTAGTGTATAGAAATATTACGAAGTATTCTCTCGAGTTCATCCGATTATCTCCGACATAACCCGAAATAATCCCACTTGTTTTAAACGACATACCTAATGCATTTATTGTTACGCGTTAACATACCGGAACGAATTCGACCCACAAGAAAATGAACGTGAGCCAGGTACAACAGTTTGCTAATATTAGCTAAAAGCGTGGAACCGATTTTGCGTATTAATTATCGCTATCTTAATAATCCATGGAAAATGATACGAGTACAAAATTATTATTGTACTATAAAATCGTAACTCTGCTAACTTTGTGAACTACAACGATCTACAGCTATTGGCTGTGAGCGAACAGCGCAAGACGAGATAATTGCGGTTTAAAATTAACGCGGAATTAAGACAGACATAAATCCCGAAATATGGAAGTTTAAAATAAAATTAAGCCTCTGCTAATACGTTGCTAATTTTTTATCCTGAAAATGATAAGAACTGTAATTCTTATATTGAGAAGTTTCTACATGATCAAATTTTTAAATTACCACTTCAAGTTTTTAGGTTAAAAAATTGTTAAATTACAGAAGCCGAGAACACAGTTGGTATAATCTTCTCATACATGAATTTTTTAATTAACGATAAAAATTCCAAAATACTTTCAGAACTTGTACTGCTCATAAAAAACAGTCTCTAACATCAACAAAAATTATGTACTAAGTTGTCAATGAAAGTAGAGAAAAATCAATTTATCAAAGGTTCTCATATGTGATCACAATGAAAGAATTAAAAAGGATTAATTTAACCCCCATAAGTCAAAAAAGAGTTCCAACTGAGAAACTTCGTATTTAAATTTTCCCTTAATATTGTAGCCATTCCTTTGCAAAGAATTTAAGTCTTTACGTCACGATTAAAAAATGAGTAAAAGTATCCAGATTTCGGGATTTAACGCAAGATAAAGATACAGGTACTAGACACTATGCTTAAGAAGCAATCAGAACGTCGATGATTCTTCAACCAGTGATTTTCATCGTCCTATGCACCAATCTTGCACGATAAACGTGATTCTCTTTTTTTTTCATAGTACATACATAAATTCAATTCCAGTTGAGTAACTTACGTTTCCTGGGAATCGAGACGCTAATGGTAGATTACGGACGACATTCGTCCTTGATTCTACCGCCGTTATTACTCTTCAAATTATGACAACCAACCGCGAACGGGCTCAGAAGTTACTCCATACTTTCTATGCATATGCAATGAATCGCATATACTAAGCGGGATACACCGTCACAATATAAAAATAACTCTACGTTTTCCGAGCTTCCAGATCGATCAAGGGTGCGAGTGAAATTTGTTGGAAAATCTAATCAGAAGTTCACTAAATTTCATCTTTCTAATTTGGCGAATAATTTCGGTGAAGAAAATCATTTTCCGAAGTTCTTTGAAAATTAAAATAATCGAGATTCTTAAGGGTGTAGACAATTTGTGATCGAAGATGGCGCTTGTTAAAAGTAAAAATCACTTTCGTATAGAACATGATTAGTTAACACGTTAGATGCTCCATGTTTGGTATAACAGAGTAATGTAGAAACAACCGTGTGTAATATGGCACACTATAATTATTTAGGATAGAATCGCGTTTTTAAACCCAACCTTTCACTTATGACCTTGGAATTATGTTGAACTTTTGAACTTTGGGATCTTTGAACTTTGCAACTGTTTGTACTTTGAAAATTTGCGACTTTCAAAGCTTTAAATCGTGCGACATTTTCGAACCATAAATTTCCGAAATTTGGAAATTATGAAACTGCAATTTTGGAACTTTGAAACTATGGAACTTCAGAACTTTGGGGTTTTAGAATTTTGTAAGTTTGTAATCTTGTAACTTTGTAACTTTATAACTTTGTAACTTCGTAACTTTGGTACTTTGTAAACTTGTAAATTTGTAATTTCGTAATATTATAACTTTGTAACATAGTTTGTAACTTTGGTATTTTGAAAATTTTGAAATGACTGGAATTACGACACTTTAGAATTTCTGAACTTTAAAAGACATTTACCGATCAAGCGGCAACGAACGTGTTAACTATGAAATTTTATAAAATCTGATATACTTAACACAACCTCATTCGAAAAAACAGTCAATTATCTCTATCGAAATATAAAATTTCTCCATTAACCCACGAAAGTCTGTGATCACAGTTTCGCACAACATATTAAATAAATTAAAACACTTGCAAAAGATCCAACTGTACCGATAAAGTCTCCATCATATTTCGTTCTAGTTTCGTTCTCCCAACAAATTATTTGTCTACTTTCGATCAACCATTTCTCAACGAAACGAAAGAATATTCGCAAGTCGCGCCAATTCACATTCCATCTATCGCAGTCAATTAACTCGTTCAGATTCACAAAAAACTTAGCGAATCATCCTCGACAACCAAGCGAGTTCTTAATATAACAATTTATTCGTCGACGAGCGAACGACACTTCGTATTAGACGCCATTTGACCTCTTTCAAGGAGACGAAGACGCTTGGATTTAACCCTAACAACTAGAACTCCGTTAGTTAACTTACAGTGAGGATTCTTAAAACTGTACTGCACAACGTTATCATGTCACGTTAACACGTTGCGCAGAGAGATACAGACACGAACACATACACGCGTTTAAATATGTTCTTCCACAGCGAGTTAGATATACACAGCTCGAATTGTACATAATGTCCTTATAGCCTCTTAAATCTTTCTAATTCTGTCCGACGATAATGTACACGCGCAATGTAGCCTCAGTCTGATGATATTTCATCTTAATTCTCTGTTCACACCTGGGTAATCGTACCAGGTCGCATCAGCGTCGCTCATTTTTCCTAAGCCTAATTCACATTGGTAGGATCAGTAACTTGCCTACGTATCTTTCACGTTTTTATACCTTTTACCTTGGTTTACATTGATAGAGTAAATGGGAAGTTGCTTGCCTGTGTAAGGTATTATTCCATTTTTGGTCATTTTAGTTCACGGTTTTTATTGGTAGTGTAACGGTTAGTGGAAGGTTAGTGATAGACTTTACTACAGTGATATAGTGGTTTACTTAAACTTTGGTACTCTAAGAACTTGTTCAGTGGTTCATATTAATTGGTAAGCGGATCCTTACTAGTATGCTTTATCGTTTAGTATATCAAATTGGTCCTTATTGTCTAATGGCTTGGAAGTATTGAACTTTGGGTCTTTAGAATTTTGGAACATTTAGAATGGCAGAATTTTTTAATATTTCAATTCTGAAAACTGTTGGGACTATCAAGGTTTGAATTATTGAAAAAAGTAGAAATTACTACACCACAAATAATTTGTTGCTTAATCACGACCATTTCCAAAAATGGTCATTTAAAGTAAACCTTAATTTTGTATTGTCATATTGCAAAATTATTTATTTGATATATACACAATTAAATAAATTTTTCCTGCTAGAGCTAGCATACTACCATTTATTCAACCAACCACTTGCCTGACCGTTTACACGATTATAATAAACGGATTTCTTTTACCAGCTTTATACCTTATCTAATAAACCAATTATCGTTCAACTGCTTCCAGCAAGTTTTATTTAAAAATACGTTAGCAAGTTACTTGCGCTAGTGTACTACCACTTGTCCTAACGATGTAAACCAGGCTTTAAATTCGGCTCGCGTTTTTTTCCAAAATATATAACGCAGATACACGAAATGCGAGAATACGAAAGATTTCGTACGCACAATTTACCTTACATCGAAAGAAACTAATGAATTCTATTACGATAAAACCCCATTTATCTAAACGCATAAAACCAAGATATGTTGTTAGGATAACACAGTAGTTCACGGTTTCTTTCTTACATGAGTAATATCTCATTTTACTACACAGTTCACGCAAGTACTCATTTGCTGTTATGGAATGTCCACAGTTTTTACCGCGAACATATAATCAGGTTCAGCTTGCGACGATGGTGTCATTAGTGAAGCCAAAAAACAATATGGCGACTAGTAAAGACCTTGTTCACGTGCAAACATATACTTCTTCTTAAAGTATAGTTTATATGCCTTAGAATGTTGTTTCAGTAATGATGTGTTTTTTTTTTTTAAAAGAAAGGAGCGTTGTTTATTAGAAACCTTGTCCTAAAGAAGACGCATTAGAAAAATAGGCGGAAAAGTCGAAAAAGTCGTGAAAGTTCGGTGTTTATTGAAAGGTTGTAAAAGTCGTTTTATTTTAAAAGTTCTGTGTTTTTGCTAAATAGTGTTAAAGTTAAGTTTTGGTTTGTTAATGTTTGTGTTAAGGTTTTTTCCTTGTTAAATAATAAAAAGAGTTTTCTTTTGCACAAAACCATATCAAAACGGTGCAAAACCATTCTTGTCATTTTAATTCCTACAGTAAACACTGAGTACAAATACTTATATGTATAGTTAATAAGCCGAAACAGTAAATAAAACACTAGATGTGTACATGTAGATTTATACTCCCTTGTATGATGCATGTTGATGATATACTGGATTAGTTCATTAAATATCACGTGACATTAAAAACAAGACTATGTCAGTTGAATACAAACAGAGCAACAGAATTTTCAAGATAAGATTATTCAAGTTTCATAAAATTTAATAGTTCTGCTATTAAAGTTATTATAATCTTTGTTACAGATTAATCAACTTTATACAAGTATTTGTCTTCATTTATAAAACATTTTAAGACTAAGACTCGTAAATAGAAATTCAGTAGAAAGAAATGTGTGAATATGGCTGTCGTGTAGCATGCGTAGTATACTCCCTACTTCAGACGCCATGTTGATTTCCTGGCTTCATTTCTACATTCTCTTCCATATATTTAGGAGCGCCTGATTATATGATGGTGGTCTTTTAAATCAGAGACATAAACTTTGACCGAATTTACAATGCATTTGGCTGCTCATCGTACACAATGAGGGTCGATACGAACGAAATAAAATTCAGATAAATAAAGTTTTATCGTATTTTAGAATCGTAACCATTCGAATTGGGGTATGCTTTTCACTTCGAGATCGTTGATTATCACCGACGAAGCTTTATCACGGGTTGACATTTTGCAGCTCGAGTCGCAACGAGGAATCGATATTGTCGCTTTCAGTAACACGTTCACGTGACAGGATTTGCTTGTAACGGATGCTATAGACAACGAGACGATTCTGTTCTATAAAGCGAATCGGAGGTTGATACCATATAATGTCATTTCGTGGCGAACTTTGTTGAACTAGTACTTAAACTGAACTTGAAGACACGACGCGATGATGTTGATTGAACATCTTTAACTGATATTGTCGTTCGTAATTAGATTTGGTAGAAGGAACTTTAATAGAGTTTCTATCTCGAGTAATTAGCTTTCTACTTCCTTTCTGAAAAAATATCATTTCGAGTATTTATAGAAATAAAAGTATCGTACATTTTCTTTTACAATGAGAGTGTACGATTTTGGGGACGCAAATTTTGCGAGGGACTTCAAAAACTTTCAGTACAAAAATTGATAAGTGGTAAAGTTTAAGACAACTTTGCTAACCTGAATATTGTGATCATATTTCAAATATCAGACAAGTGTCAAACATAAAATATCTATCAAAAAAGCGTTTCATCTCATCCAAAAGATTCTTTTTTCGAATATTACTGAAATCTGTCTACGTCAAAATCTAAAAAAATATATCTTCAGCATCGTCGAGCAGTAAAACACCCTCTTCCTACTGTTACAATTAAAAGAACGCTTCCAACGTGTTTTCTTCTTTGCTCGAGTAAACCTCACAGTCTCGAGAACGATACAAAAATAGCCTCGTATACAGAGCAGTTTTCTCCTAATAATGTATCACATACACTGCAAAACAGACGTCAACGTTGTTTGTTCGGAAGGAAAGGGTGCGAATTAATTGACAATAGCGAATCCTTCATTGCGATCGCGATGACAAGAGACAGCGGCGATCTCCTCGTTTTTACGTTCATCAAATTCGCATTCAGTCGATCGTGAGATTCGGTTATCCATCAGAGATCCATCGGTATGATTTTGTGCAATTATTCGAGTGACATGAAATCGTGGCTCGAACTCGAGCGATAATAATACTGAATACTCGTTACCAGGTGGACATCGTTTGCAAAGATCGATAACTACAGATACGTTCTACGACACAAGAACGCATGTCTGACATTTAATCATTCGCATCGATTCTCTTGCAATTTTTCGTTAATTAGAATTTACGAACGAGCACTGCTTCAAAGTGAACGTTGTTCGATCGTCCGCGATACGATCGGTGAACTTAATCATAAAAGTTTAGAACACGTGAAAGAAGATAAACTATCGGGTGTAATTAAAAATGATTAAACGATATTTTCGTTCGGAAATCGTAATAAATATACCCCGTTGCGGGAGTTTTAGAAACGTCTGTTTCTGCAGAAGAGTCTACTCTCCGCGGTGTTAAGTAGTGTTTCGTAGCTCGTTACGGTGATAAAGAAATGTCACGTACCCGTTGAAATCTGCCGGGAGGTCGCATACATACGTGTCACCGTTTCGATTCACATGGTGTACTGAGACAGTAGAATTCGAGGAGTCGTTATGTTTCTCGGTGGTTCGGGTCAAGTGGTGCACCAGGCCAGGATTACCTTCTTGAACGGCACGAAAATCGCGCGATCGGGATCACTGAAACATAAAAGACAATAAAATCATGATAAACCTTTCTTAAAACAGGGCTCTCCTTGCAGGCAGTCCATCTTGAAGATGGCTCTCTCTTATGATCTATCAAATTCTTAAAGTTATAAATTATACACTCTACTAATTTGTGCAATTGTACATTCTGAATTCCCAAGTTCGAAAAACACATTTCTCCCAAATTCGTAAAATTATACAGTCTAAATTTCCCGGCTCGAAAAATTGTAATATCTAAAAATCCAAATTCGAAGATTTAAAATTTGTCACTATCTAAATTCCTAAACTGAGAATTTGAAAATTCTACATGTAATCCTCAAAATTTAATTTGAGTCAAAATTCGACCCGTTCCAATTTCCGACTTCACCCGAATATATTTTTAAAATTCCTCCACGTTTCAATTTAACCAAGAGCAGTCTTCGAGTACATCAAGAGCAGTGAATAATTTACTAAGACTACAAATATTTTTCTATTTCCTAAAATAACAGTTGTTTAAGACAACAGGAAATTATGCAGCGGAGTTTAGAGGCTAACTCTGCATCATTTTGTGAAATTGACCCTACACTGGATTGCCCTTACGTTGTTGAGCAACGCGTGCACATATGTACCTATGTACATACATAGATGCATGTACACCTATGCAGGTTACGTGCAAAGTCAGAATGAGAGAATTGCTTTTGTCACGCAGCTCGTACAAGACGGCTTGTTACTTGGAAAACACGGTGCAATTACGAAATTAAATACTAATCCAGATTCGATTTAGAAAAGGCTCTCGCTATTTGTACGACGGCGATTTAATTGATAACTCTTTAAAGATATCGTGACACGTCGTTTTGTTTCGCGTATAAACGAGAAAGGAACGCCTCTCGAGTTAATTCGCTCGTATCACGAAAAAATTATTTTCTGTAACTGTAATTGCTGAAAGTAAAATATATTTGATAAGAAACTTTCTGTTTAAAAAAATGCAGAATTACATATCATTTCATCTACCTCGAAATGAAATGCAAATTTTTATTAATTCTTGAAAGAAAGGTGATTTAAAAGGAACGGATATGCTGTAACAGCTCATATAATTTTATATTCCTTTTTATATCGAAAAAGCTATTACTAACTTTCTAAGCAAATATTCTGTACTTTATTTTCATAACACAACAGAACGATAAGTTTTTAAATCAAAACTGCACATTAGAATAATAAAAGAAATTAAGAATGTTGTAAACTAAAAGGTTATAAGTGAACTGTTAATAAAGTATTTAACACGTGAATTGTAACTATCCATACACAATAAGCGTTAATAGAATTTTATTTTGAAAATTCTATCGTTGCATCGTTAACATTATTTTCGCTGCGGTAACAATGCAGAATTGCAACAAAGGCAGTGTGTTAATGAGTACTGCTAACTGTGAAAACGGGACCAACGTTCGTTCGATAAAAGACCTGGTTATTGTTCTAGTGGCGCAACGAGGCTTGTTTCATAGAAGTCGTTCACTTTACGCATGAAAAACGGTGTATATTCCGTAACATTAAAATTTAATGTCGACGACGAACGAGTCTTGACACACTGCCAACAACTCTCGTTACATAGCTTATGACTTTATTTCTTTTCCCTCACATTTCATATAATCCTGAGAAAATTATGCTTTCTTGCAGCTGTTTCATTTAAATTGGAACAAATATATTGTACCAACATTTGTTGCGTATTGTAATACATTGCTTTACTTTATTAATGATATATGTTTGCTATGTTACATTATATTATTTGTTACTGACCATAATAATATATCAATATTTAATTATAATTGCAACTTATAATACTGACATAAATAGTCATAGTTTTAAAGAAAATTAGTTTGAACATTCTGAACTGCTAAAACTATAAGAACATTGTGCACATGTGAAACTACCATAGATGTATACTTGTGAATAGAATGTATGCAGTATGCATACTTGTCCATAAAATGTATGCAGTATGTATGCATACTTATGCATAAAATGTATGTAGTATATATGGATACTTGTGCATAAAATGTATGTAGTATGTATACTTATACATACATGTGAAAACTGCCATAGATATCTGCACATGTACATTGACTTCTAAAGAGTCTTACAATCTCGTTACATCATGACAAGATTATACTCGAAGAGTTAAAATAAAATATTGTGCTAAAAATACAATAAACCATTTCCGTATACATATATACCCTTGTAAGTAAAAATACTCACCAATCGAAGAATCTTCTACCATGAAAAGTGCCATCGGAAGAACCGTTCAAATGTGGCAACTCCACGCCTACATGGGTCTCCTCGCGACCAGGTACAGGTCCTACGTATCTGACTCGACCTTGCAGAACTTTGCCTTCCGGCGATATAACCTTCACGAGATGATCCGGCTTGAGATCTCTTGGTATCTGTGAAAATAGTGGTTCCGAGAACATAAACAAACGCTTGTTTAACATTGAAACATGATACAACTGTGTTTGTCTTTGCCAATTAAGTCAAACATCGACATCATAACTAACTGCATCATCTTGTCTAATTTGTGTCTCGACTATGAGTTATAACTTGGTCACAAGCTAATATATCACAGAAGTTAAGTACGTTAATGTATATTTTACTTGGCCGTTACAACTGTAGCGATTAAATTTTACCAAAGCTATATTTTTCTTAATCATTAGTTTAAGGTATATTAACTGTGGTATTACAACCATAGTATTTATTGTAGTACCTGTAGTATTTATTTATTAAAATGAAAATGATAAGGATAGATTTCCGTTTTCGATGATGACCATTTTCAACATGTGTTAAACTTCAAACATTCATAGAAACTGATTAGTTAATTGAGGTGCTATGATATAACGTTATCAAGGAGTCGAATGTGATCGAATTAATAATCTAACTATAAATCCAACTATATAAACCTAACTATCTTACTGTGAAATATTAGTGTTCCAGAATTAAATTAAAGTTGAAATTTACCTTTGGCAGGTACGGTCTAGCATCCTGCGGTGGATGCCAGTCGCGAATGAGATCAGGCTCGGAGTAGCGTCGGGTGCGTCTCCGTCTGGCCGCCTGTTTATTCCAATAATCCGAACTGACGCCGCTACTGGAGATCGTCAACATCGAGTCGATGCTTCGTCGCAAATAATCCTCAGCCTCGTCGATCAACGACTCGGTCGAATCGCCGCTGTTTTCACCGGTAGCCAAATCCGATCGTAAATTCGGCAAGCTTCCACGCGTCATTGGACATTCTGTAGACAAACATATCGCCCATTGAGAATCTGATGGCTCGTAAAATACCTAAGTACGTATCTCTTCCGCTATTCGGAAGAATACAACGTATTCGTTGCCAGGATTACTGTCCGATGCTATGAAACGTTCGGATGAATTACTAGAATGACCAGGAAATGTGTTGTGTCGCGCATTATCTGGATATTGCAGTTATAGAAATTGCAATTGTTTAAACTACCAAATGTGGTATTAAATATATAATTCAAGATGTTATATATAAACTTTATTAGATCAATTCGACTCGATTCGTTCTATTCGGCACCGCTCGCTAGACTGAGAGTTCGCAACTTCGGGCGCGGTCGGAAATCGCTTCGCGAACCGAAACCCGACGACACCCGCCGATTCGGCGGTCTCCTTTCAAAATTTAATTGCTACACAAATTTGTATGATTTCAATTTTAACTTATAGGAGAACCGATTTAATCTGATAACCTTGATCTAACTTCACGTGAACTTCTCTGACCCTAATCTAATGTGAAGACCCAGACCTAACCCTAATTTAGCGACCTTGATATAACTTTAACCTATGTTAAAACACTAACAACTGATCTAAGCTAATTAAAATTAACCATGATTTAATTTGATACTAGGTAACCCACAACGATCTAACTCTAGCACGATTTAATAAGATTTAATTTAAATTTGGCATAACCTCACGCTGACGAAACATTTCAACTTCACATATTTTCGATCTAAAGTTATATTGATTTAATCCCGTTCTAACCTCACTCCAATCTAACTTTTCGATGTAGCACACACGTATTTTTTATAGTATATATAAATTGTTACGATTTAGTGTCAGAATTTTGCTTAATTTTATTACCAGTTTCCCGACATTTAATATATTAATAAATTTCAAGGGAGAGTATTTTAATTAACAATTACCCTTCATTAAATCGGAACAGAAAGATAACACAGCGACAAGTCCGCGTAAGGTAAATCAGTTACGATTGAATTACTCGTTCCTATCCTCTAAGGTTACGTAGAAACCTGAATCTACAATACGACTTCATGCGATACAAGGTTGCACCACATGTTAATTTAAAACGATCGGCTTTGTAATTCAATTAATCGTAACTAACGCGGTCCCTTCACACGTTAGCTCCTTAACAAATCAAACTGCAATGTATCCATTACACAAAATTACAATTACTCCTTTCAATTTTCTTTATATTATTTCAAAGTTTATCCAAAGGATACCTCTTTTCCGTGCAGTTAAGCAGAAGGATATTCATCTTAAACAATATCTTACAATCCCAAAAATAAAATGAAATTAACTGCAATTATTTAAATTGAATTTATATCCAATCTGATGAAGCGCTATAGAAATCAATATTTTGACATCTTCGTCTCTGCAAAACCGTCGATAATTCATACAATATTCAACATGTTAAATTTACTAGGACATCTAGTGAGCTTATCAAACTTCTATTTCAGAGTTTAATATATAAGATTCATCGAATAAACAAATTACTGATAACAAGATGTCACTATACCTTGGAAAGTAACCTTCGATCGCGTTCTCTTGGGAAGGTTTTTAGAAGTCTTCGAAGTGGTCGCTGGAGGATGCACGTGCGTAGGCGAAGAAGGCATGGAGGACCAAGTTGGTCTCGGCGTAGAAGTAGCTACCGGCACTCTCCAGGTATCAAAGGATGCCGCAGTTGCTCTCCATGAGTGCCTCCGTGATGGACCACCGACAACCTCCAATCCCGGTGATGGAATCGATGTCAAAGAGCCCCGATACCTCGACGAATAGAAGTCCGTGGAAAGACGACAGTCGCATGGACTCGGCAGTCCTGTGCCAGGATTGCAACGAGGCCACAATCCAGCTGGGGATCCTAGGGACTCGCGTCGATGAACGTCCGGTGTTCGAAGACCGCAGCCACGTGAACTGAAACAAGTCTGAAAGGAAAACAGTAGTGAAATTAAACATAAGACTTAGGGAATTTAAAATGTTTGGTTTTTGGAAAGAGAATTTGGGAATTTGAGGAATTGGGGGTTTAGATACTTGAGATCTTGGGAATTTGGAAATTTAGGGAATTGGGGATTTGGGGATTTGGAAATTTAGGGAATTTGGAGATTTGGAGATTTGGAGATTTGGAGATTTGGAGATTTGGAGATTTGGAGATTTGGAGATTTGGAGATTTGGAGATTTGGAGATTTGGAGATTTGGAGATTTGGAGATTTGGAGATTTGGAGATTTGGAGATTTGGAGATTTGGAGATTTGGAGATTTGGAGATTTGGAGATTTGGAGATTTGGAGATTTGGAGATTTGGAGATTTGGAGATTTGGAGATTTGGAGATTTGGAGATTTGGAGATTTGGAGATTTGGAGATTTGGAGATTTGGAGATTTGGAGATTTGGAGATTTGGAGATTTGGAGATTTGGAGATTTGGAGATTTGGAGATTTGGAGATTTGGAGATTTGGAGATTTGGAGATTTGGAGATTTGGAGATTTGGAGATTTGGAGATTTGGAGATTTGGAGATTTGGAGATTTGGAGATTTGGAGATTTGGAGATTTGGAGATTTGGAGATTTGGAGATTTGGAGATTTGGAGATTTGGAGATTTGGAGATTTGGAGATTTGGAGATTTGGAGATTTGGAGATTTGGAGATTTGGAGATTTGGAGATTTGGAGATTTGGAGATTTGGAGATTTGGAGATTTGGAGATTTGGAGATTTGGAGATTTGGAGATTTGGAGATTTGGAGATTTGGAGATTTGGAGATTTGGAGATTTGGAGATTTGGAGATTTGGAGATTTGGAGATTTGGAGATTTGGAGATTTGGAGATTTGGAGATTTGGAGATTTGGAGATTTGGAGATTTGGAGATTTGGAGATTTGGAGATTTGGAGATTTGGAGATTTGGAGATTTGGAGATTTGGAGATTTGGAGATTTGGAGATTTGGAGATTTGGAGATTTGGAGATTTGGAGATTTGGAGATTTGGAGATTTGGAGATTTGGAGATTTGGAGATTTGGAGATTTGGAGATTTGGAGATTTGGAGATTTGGAGATTTGGAGATTTGGAGATTTGGAGATTTGGAGATTTGGAGATTTGGAGATTTGGAGATTTGGAGATTTGGAGATTTGGAGATTTGGAGATTTGGAGATTTGGAGATTTGGAGATTTGGAGATTTGGAGATTTGGAGATTTGGAGATTTGGAGATTTGGAGATTTGGAGATTTGGAGATTTGGAGATTTGGAGATTTGGAGATTTGGAGATTTGGAGATTTGGAGATTTGGAGATTTGGAGATTTGGAGATTTGGAGATTTGGAGATTTGGAGATTTGGAGATTTGGGAATCTAAGAATATGGGAATCTGGGAATGTGGGAATTTGAGAACTTGAGAACTTGGGCGCTTGGAAACTTGGAGAGATGGGAATTTGAGAATTTTTGAATCTAGGAATTTGAGGATTTAGGAATTTAGAAATATGACAATCTGGGAATTCGGGAATTTGAGAACTTGAGGACTAGGGAACTTGGGGAGTTAGGAACTTAAGAATTTGAGAATTTGGAGATTTTGGAATTTAGGAATTTAGGAACTTACGAACTTGGAAATTTAGGAATTTAGTAATCTAGGAATTTGACAATTTCTGAACTTGTGAACTTGGAAGAACTTGAAAATATCAGGACTAGGGAATTTCAATATCAATCAAAATTGAATAAAAATCAGCTCGTGTAAAAATATCCTCAGTTAACATCGTAACCTCTTCCCATTAAACAAAACAACAGAAACGTTGTGGAAAATGATATCAATTCTCGACGTAACAGGCAACGAAAACCGGTAATATAGCAAAAAAAGTAAAGCGAAGGCGGCAATTAGTCATTCAAGTTGACGAAGAGACCGTAGAATTACGACGAATACAAAAGTGAATCGCATTAACGCCGTTCCTCCGACCTTCTCCTACGCACATTGCGAAGCGTTTCCGTGTACACGTAACATACGCACACCAATGAAAGTGATATTATGCGTTTCAGAAACAGACTCCTGTGAACGTTCTAATTGTCTTTTGCGTAATGGGGGATCATTTAAAAGGCTTCTAGCTAACTTTCTGACGGAGTATCTTCATTTTCTATTCGTTCCATTTCGATTTAACCTTCACTGTACATCAATGGTGTTGGACACTGCACAAAAGTTCAGGTTCAATTTTCTCTTTTACTAGATTTTCTGTGTTTGGAGTAAATTATAATTTTAAGAAAAACTTTTTTGAATGTACGAAAGAATATTCAATCATTTTTTATATGTAAAAAGAAATTGTTTAAACGTGATATATGTTGTTAGATCACATCACATGTGTACGATATGAAAGTTTGATACTCTGTGTACAATAAAAGTTAATTTCGACTTACGAGGCTCTAAAAGTCTAGTAAAATGTATACGATCCAGCTGCAACCTTTAACTCTGAAATAACAATGACCAAATCCAAATCTGCACGCTTAAATTTTCAAATGTATGAGTCTCAGAATGTATCAGACTGTCACCTACTAATAGTAAAATGGTAAACTGGTAGAATATTAAAACAGTAGCATAATACATAGTGAAGTAGTGGAATAATATAATAGTCATTTAACAGCAGAATTCGATACATGGAACTCTATTTGATCCCTAATATGGAGCATTAAGATACTAAAATGAAATAGTTATAATTATTTGCTAATTACTAAATCACAAAGATTCTAATGATAACTCGAATCGTACCTGTGCGTGTGGATCGTGGCAAAGATGATCGGCACTTCTGGACAATTCTGGCACCATGCTGGTGAAACTGATATCCGACAGCATCACTCTCCTAGCTTCCCGTGTCTTATCAGACAGTCTGAGTCTCCCTGGGACACCAGTCGGCAGAGCAAATTTACTTGGTAACGTAGTGAACGTATGAGCCACTTTGTGCGCAAGATAACTCTCGGACCTCCAGTGGGCCGGAAGTGCGGAAATGTCTGTCTGAGCACCGGATTCTCGTCTTGCTCCGCTAATTCTGTCCATCACCGGCCTCAATGGAGCTGCACTCTTTCGACGACCACCAGCTAGAGCCTCTCGGTGGATAATCGGTCTGACAAAGTAGAAAAGCGTACATGCCTTTTAACAATTTGATCATCATATTCATGCTACCAATTAATAATAGATGTCAATATAGAAACTCTGATTATTTGATGTCATAAAAGTATATGTATAACACCTTTGATACATCAATCGATACAAATTTTGTGTATGAAAATTTAAAAATTACATGATCCTTAATAAAAAATGATCAACTATTAAATATAACATACGATAGCAAATTATTGCAAAGTAATAGATATACCAACATAAAATTTGAGATTTAACAAGAACTATGTGATATTGTAGTACTGTTCAAAGTTACAGAAAACAAATGATTTGCTTAGCACCTCTATGCGTGTGGAAGGTTGCGTGTTAAATGATAGTAAACGTTAAACTTGCAGTAATGGAATTTCCTATGAAATTACGTACAACTTTGAACAATTAACGGCTCGCCGTTGGCTTCTGAATGCAATTACAGCGTAGACCGTAAACAGTGACCTCCCAGACTGATCTAATTTTGCAATTACGAAGTTTCCATATTCACGACTATATTACACTAATTATGAATTCGATTCTTCTAATTTTAATTCAAGAATTTATTAATTCGAACAGAATTAAAATAATTTACTACATTTAAACGTGATGTATGAAAAATTTACACAAACAGAACGCTTTACAGTAAATGTACAGACTCTCATTATATTGCCATGAACAGACTGTGGATGCAGAAAATTATTCGTAATTTACAAGTAATAAACAGAATGGCTATCCACCTACACTGTATTAATTTACAGAGAACACAATTACAGTGTTATTTCATTTTATGCATATCAGTCACCAGGAAGGTTCACATATAACGAGTTGTAGCATATTAAAGAAAGGGAAAAAAAAAGAGTTGGAGGTAAGTGAAAACGTTTTATAGCTGTTAAGTACTCAGCAGCTAATTAAAGTACTTTCAGTGAATACATGCATATATTGGCGTGAGAGTCTCATTGGGGAAAGAATGAAGTGCACTACGTGACGCGAAATTCTCCGGGCCTATTCAAGCAAACTATTCTCCTTTCTCATTTTTTACTAGCATCATAACTATAAATTTAGTCAAATGAAAGTATACAGCGTTCCTTTTAAGACTACCTAAATATCTTCTCAAATTGTGATGATGTTAAAAATGTTTTTCGCATTCTGTGCATCAAAGAATTAGTATCGAACAAAAATATTTTTCAGGGTCATTTTTTCTGAGATTTAAAAATTTTCGATTTGTTTTTACAGCTACATATTTTTTTATTGTATTGCGAAGTTGGTCGTTTCAAATTGATATACTACTGCACACATTGTGCTCTCATAGAAACATTATATAGCTGAATAACTAGGTACATATAAAATTTGAAATCAATATATTTCGAAAATCAAGTATAATTTAAAAGAAACCCACGATGTAATACTATACTGTATGATTTGTAATACTATATACGAATACAGCATGTGTACTGTAATTTCGAAAGCGATATCCGCATCCATTCCTTCTTCTTGCGACGTCCTTGCACTAGCCACATAAACTCTTGAAAATAAAGTAAAAGCATTCTTTTTAAAAAAGAAAGCCTCGACGAAAGTCCGGTGCATCATAAAGAAATCGATACGCTATCGTGCAACGTTAAAAAGGTGGCCATTACCTGTAGGCGGTGGGTGGCGCGGCCAAAGTGTTTCTCCTGACAGCGTGTCTGGTAGCATGTTCCGGCTCTTCAACGACTCCACACTTGCTGATATCAGTTTCGACCAGTACCGAACATTGTGACCACATTTTGTTCAACCTAGAGCTAGAACTCTCATCGAATCTATCAACGCTTTCCTCGCGATCGATGCTCGAGCTCTGCGACGAGACGGCCTCCTCCACCGAGCTAGTTTTCTCGCCATTGCAAACCAGAGACTCGCCCTCGGTCGATTTCGTGTATTTCAGCATCACCGGTTGACCGGTGGTTACAGGTTGTTGCCAAGATTCGGCCTCCGTTATCGATACCAGGTCTTCTTGCAAGCCAAGGTCGCGACAAGTATCATCCGTAGTGAATATCAACTCGATATCATCCAGCTCTTCGGACTCGTTCTCTGACTGATCGTTCGGTTTCGGCTGATCGGTGGACTGACGTTGTTGTGACTGTACCTGCGTGTCAGGGTTGTCACTGAACACCGAATTGTCGCCATCGGAAACAGACTTCAAACTCAGGTCCTCCATATCTTTATCCGGCACCTCCAAATGGTCTCCTCGCGCTTCGTTCCCATCCTCCTCTTCGAGGTCCTTAGACAATCTGTTAGCCGAAGTAGATGCCAACTCGTTGAGGACACTGCTGTCTGCAGCTTCAGCCAAGCTGTCCCCAGCTGCTAGCGTTAAAGTTTTAAGAGCAGGATCCTTCGACATAGCGCACTTCTGATCGATGGATAATGATCCTTCTACGCTTCTGGTTGTCTTCTCGACTGTTTGAAACTGCAAATCGTCGCCCTTGTTATTGTTGTTATTGTTGCTGGTAGTCCGTACTCCGATGATCGACTTAGATGCTTCTGGCACCTCTTCCGCGATGACTTTGTCCCTGGACGCATCCATGAATACGCTTGCCTGCTCGGACAGACTGATACAGTTTACAGGGTGAGAATGGCAGCGAGAATGCTACCGCCTGTGCACGTTACACGTGGTTATTAATAGGTGCATCAAGAACGGGATGCGTTCGTTTTAATTAACGCTAACGCTATGGAGCATCGCTATTCAGCGGCACACATTTACTAACATAATGTACCGCTGTTAGCATCAAGTAAACAGGCCACTTAACACGATCATCGAAATTATTTTTTCGAACTTTAAATTCAACCATTTTTTAAATGTTCAAATTCCAAAATTTTCCAAATTTTAGGCTTTCATGTTTACAATTCTTCAAATTTGCTTGTGAGCAATTTTTCGGATAATTACTAGAATCCTGCATGATGATGATCTATGTTATACATCTCAATTCTACTACATATACAGCTCATATGACTTTTATTGAATTTGATTTAGCAATAAAATGAAGGAACTTCGCAACAATGTATATCAAATGAACATAGAACGCCGAAAATGAACACGAAGTGAACAAACGAAATCTTAATTCTTGACAGAGACAAGTTTCAAGACTCACTCTTTAGTATCCTCTACTGCAAGTGGAAAAAGACGAGATTGGGCTGGCGGGCTTGTGGCAGCATCAGTAGAAAACTCACTGTTCCTGCTTAGGATCTTTCGCCTAAGGACGTGATTCTCGAGAGCGAGTCTCTCAACGACGTCAACGTAGCTTTCACCAGAAAAATCACCGACGCTCTCCTTAAGACGGCGAAGCTCTTCCCGCGAGGAATCCAGCGCGGAACGCAATGATATCACAGTCTGACACACAAAAAGAATATAAAAGAATATTTCAAAATATTTAACATACAAAACAGTATTTTGAATAATTCAGCATTCCTCAAATATTTTATCTATGCTATAGTGTATTGTTATAACCAGACATATTAAATTCCTAGATTTCTAAGTACTTTGATCACTATACGCTTCATCCCTTTAACTCCTTATCCCTAGATCCCTAAATCCCATCTGTACATTCCTACATCTCCATATTCTTAGACACTCAAACTTCTGGATCACTAAATGTGTAAATCCTGAAATCTTCAAATCCCAATATCTTAGGTCCATAAATCCTTAGATTCAAAATCTTTACATGAAAGAACCCATAACCCAAAACTCCTAGGTCCCTAAAACGTGTTCAATGTGCACATACGTATATTGATTGAAAGGGAAATCATAATTATAGTTAAAAATACCATATAATGAGAAATTTTGTTCTTTTAATTTTGCCAAATGTATTTAATTACCAAGATTTCGTTTATGTCGTCAATATGTACTACATCAAGCGATCCTGTTATTAATTTCACATTAAAAATTGCGAAAGTCTTTGAAAATTCTCTTGCCTCTTGGCAGTTGCAAAGATAAGTCATCCAAATGTTTCCTTTCGCCTTGTTTAATTATTAAAACGGAATGTTCGTGTTGTAAATCTGTAAATCGACGTAAATATCCGTGATTACAAAGTTAATAACACTGTTTCGAGGTAAACCGACAATTTATACGAAAGATTTACAACACATGATTCAACGGAATGCGAATTTAAGCGAAAGCTTAATTGCAGATTAAACGTACATCGCGAACATTCGTATAAAAATCTTAAGATGAGAATGAATGAATTTTCTAAATACAGAAATACCAGTTTTATAGTATTCAAAAACCCTTTTAAATTGCACGATACGAAATTGCTTATAAAATTAATGCGATTTATATCTACATTAAAAATCGGTAAAAATACATTGTGCGAATCGCGTTTATAAACCACAGTAATCAAGAGTTAGGCATCATAATCACGAGTACGTGACGGAGACTGTGAAGATGATTATACTGCAAGTATCGCAACAATGTTATAACGTTGATTCTTGTTCGAATGGTTATAAATAACATACATCCCTTAATTCGATTAACCTTGAATTTGTTCGAAAGAAAGTAGTATCACAGACCATTTAAGGTCAAGGGATCACGAGGGTAAAGAGTACAGCGAAGAATGAATAGCATCGTCGTACATGAAATCGATGGTTGAAGGATGTATAAAATCACCTGCTTCCCTTCTCCACGTAACTGTGTCATTTAACCAACAAGTTACACGTATTCTTTAGATACATTTTATCTAACTAATATTATCCATAGATCTATGAATTATTGTTCACAGTTCCCCATATATCCCTAGGTCCTAATAACTATACATCCCTACACCCGTAGATGTCTTTAGATATGCCTAGATATTTGAGGAGAAGGCCAGATATTCTTAGATATCCCTAGATACCTCTGGAAATTCCTAGATGTCATAAATATACACATACGGATATCTGAGATGTCTTTAATAATCCCTAAATATCTCTAGATATTCCTAGATATCTCTGAAGATTTTCAGATATCCCTAGATGTCTAAATGCCTAGATATATCAATCTATATATACATATAGATGTTCTTAAAGATCCCCAGATATTTGTAGCTATATCCATGCTGATTAAAAAATTTCAGACAATTTTTAGTAATGTAAATAATTTACTGAATGCACCGATTTTTAGAAGATTAAATCGTATACATAATAACATAAAGTGTATCTCTTCATCATGCATAGATACTGTCAGTGAAGTGAGATATAATCAAAAGATACAACAATGTATGTCCATCTATGGATTAGTACTGTATTATTATACCAGTTCTATTTCACTAAAATTACTATACTATTATAGTAATAGTTTGCTATTCTATTTAATCACAAGAGTTGGTACAATCTCATTTCAAAATTTTCTTCAATTATTTTTATGTTAAAATTAAAATGAAATTCACCACCGCCATATATAAACAACTATAAGACTGTAGCCATTGTAATTTCTTTACATTTTTATACAATCTTTTTATTTCAATTTAAAATGAGCTATCATTAAAACGAATTATTATTTTTAATAAAATATCGATACCACACGTGTAAATTAAAAATGAATATTGAATAAAAGATTTTTATCAATTTCCACAGTGAATTCGATGTGGAACTAAATAATCACCTTAAGTTAAACTGTAAATCATACGTCAGCAAAAATCTAACCCCATCACCCAAGGGTTGATACGTAAATAGTCCAAACCTGATGCAAAGCTCTCACGACGTCCAGTCCGGGGATTCCCGGGGATGGCAGGGTAAGCTGCAGCCCCTGATGGTGAGACTGCCGACCAGCTTCAGCTTCCATACCTCCTCCTCCCCGCCCGATATTTCCAACGAGATCTTGTCACCGCCACAGGTCATGCCGAAACTTCTTTCCTTTTTGTCCGTTTGACCACTTCACTCACGATTTCACTAATCCTAATCGATCACCGTCGATGCTGTCGTTGTCGCACTCACGAAACAATAAATGATTCTTCCATACACTTGACAAGACTTAAACCAGCCCTCACGAACGACTTCAATTCATCACAATTGTCAAATCTCACTGTTTCGTAAAATGACAGCGCTATAAATAAAATCTAGCATGTTAAGGGTAGTTAATACGCGTTGCATTTTATCTGTCACATGATATTACGTATCGAATTGATCGAATAAAAATATAAAATAACAAAAAAGTATCACATGTTCATTATTGGTTTAAATGGTAGTTCTCGATATCTGAAACACCTTTTACGTGCTACTTCTGATTATTTTTTTAAGTGAAATTAAGCAATTGAAATTTTTTGGATTTTAAAGTAAATTATCTTCTTAAATTAATGACGTACGCGTCAATTTATTTTTATTGTCTCATCAGTTTATTAAGACTTGGATATAATGCGCAAAATAAGCGTTGTTACTAAATAAGTTATTGACAATTTGTAAAATAAATAATAGTTGAATATAAGATTATTGGAAACTTACTTTTCACGTTAATTTTCAACGACGTACTGAGATCGTTATAAGAATCAAATGTTAATTTAGAAACTTTTATTTTTTATTAGAAAATGACGCCGTGAGTACTGCGCGTAATACCATACGGATTGATTTACTTTTACACACGCACTTTATCGTCCACGGTTGAGAATACACTACTGACGAGAACAACATTTACGACGGTGGTTGAACAGAGTTTTCCAATAAGCAGTCATCGTTAGAACCACTAAACGATACTAATCGATACGCAACAATCGAACGATTTATAGATAACGCTTGAGCACGATCGCCAAGCATTCAAAATCTATCAACTCTATTATAATTATACTTCCTCGAATACCGATTATCGTTTAATCTGTAGCTTTTCTTAGCATACACGAATCGTCAAAATTGTTTGATCAAATGGTTTACGTTAAATAAATCGTTCACTTGTACTTTAATCTTGATTCTTTAAAAAATTACTTTCTTTTTTTAAGTACGACGCGGCAGAGTAATTTTCATACGAATGTCAACAATATAGCTCGAGCTGTCACTTGCTCTTTAATGCAGACGACGGGATAGAAATACAACCCAATTATCAGGCTAGCCAACATTGCATACTCCCATGATAAGGAGCATCTTCACGAGAGACAAATGACGAATTGTGATAAGCGATGATTGTTTTATTTTTTTAGCATACTTGATGACAAGAATATAAATATTTAATTATCAGTTTTCACACGAGATACATTTGTTTCTGTCCATGTATAACAATCAACAAATTTTATATGTATGTAAGATAAATTGAAATTCACTGTTGCTTCTTAACTTTCATTTTTACTTTCAGGAAATTTATGTACATAATTATAAACTATTAAATAAGTAATTTAGTCGTTGATCATTTACAAATCCGTCTTTATTATGTATACTGTAAAACGTGAACGACGAGGTAGAAGAAAACCCCCACCACTAAAATGTAAATATTTACTCGAAAACGTTTTGTTCAATATTTTATTAATAAAATGTTGTAATTACGTATTTAATTTCATAATACGAAAATAATTGAATTTTTAAGACAATTCATACTTGAATATTAATAGATTTGTGTCAAAATATTCAAATACTAATGAAATTTATATTGGAGTATTCAAATATAATTAAAATTCGCACCCATTAGAATTCAAACTCAATTTGCAGATCTGAAATTCAAATAATTGAATATCAAGTATACTTGAGTATATTCAGATACTCTGTAGAATTTAGATTTAAAATTCGAGTTATTTAAAAAATTCATGCAAACTAAGCATAATACATTATTATAGTACCTGGTGGAACCTCCCTTCCCTATATCGACATTTTCCCTAGGGAAGCCTACCATGCTCGATACTCTTATATACAGTAGTAGATAATACGCATATATACAGTAATCTGTCCGCGCAAAGTTCGGTTTTAACCGATTATACACATGTTGGCTGCTATTAGTGACGTTAACATTACACAGTAAATAATTCCAAATAAAAAAAGTCAAGTAGTACAAAAAAACGTTTAATAAAAACGCAAGAACGTCGTGATGAAAAATATATTTTAATGGAAGGAATAATCCTATTTTGCGAGGATGGAGTGTAGGACAAATTTAAAGAGCACTCTTTTTATAATTTTTATACATATAACTGTATTAAATTGTACTCATTTATCGAGAACGTATTTGAAAGATGTGTCGACTAGCAATGGTGAAATTGTACCACGAATTAGCTGGTTATTTAGTAATTCTGTTGACACTCCCGTTAGGGTTAAGAGAGGAGTTATAGACACTTTACCCGAAGACAGTTTATTAAAGTCTATGAATTCTAAGTGTCGAAACAATTTACTTCATCTCTGTAATCATGTAGGTGGAAACAGTGATGAATTGATGTTGTTAGAATGTATTCAGAACTTTAAGGTATAACTTACGATTACTTATGTTTAATGACAATATTTTATAATTAAGAGATAATATTTAAAACAAGTAACATTAAATTATTATATTTAACTTACAATTGTTTTTATTTTATAGCCAACTGAAGTATCCGGCATTGATGATGAATGTCGTCAAGCCATTTTTTCTTACATCTTAAATATTACCAATAATTATAACATAGAACGTTTAGCTAAAAAAACTTGTGGTAAAGAGTTAGATCTGACAGACTGTTCTGCTTCTGATAAGAAACATGGTGCATATTTATCATGTTTAATTGATCAAAGAGAGAAAGTAAAAAATCCAGAATGTATTGCTTACATTCAACGATTAGAATGGATAGCATTTAATGATTTCAGAATTACAACATTTTCTTCGGACTGTGCAGACGATGTTAAAAAGTTTAAGTGCGATAAAGTACAACCTTACAGAGACATATCACAGGGACAAATATTGGCTTGTCTGCAAGAACATATTAATGAACTTCAACATGATTGTCAAAGACACATATTTCATGTATCTGAAATACAAGCTGAAAATATAAATTTAGATCGACAGCTATACATAGCTTGTGAACAAGATCGTACTAAATTTTGTCCAGGCATCAGACCTGGTAGTGGTCAAGTATATAAATGTTTAATGCAACATAAAACGGATAGAGCTATGACAGCTATGTGCCAAGAGCAACTTACAAGAAGAGGAAAATTAATAGCATCTGACTATAGAGTTAGTAAAGGATTAGTCAAAGCTTGCAAAGATGACATTAAAATTAATCATTGTAGGAGACCTCCACCTGAAGATAAAAATATATTTGGAAATGATGATAAAAATAAAAGACCTGCAAATGAAGATAAAAATATAAGACTCGCACGTATTCTGCTTTGTTTAGAATCAGCCGTAAAAAATGGAAGTAAAATTGATAGAGACTGTCAAGCTGAAATGTTTGATCACAGGAAACTTCTAATGGAAGATTATAGATTATCTCCTGAAATAGTTGATGGATGTGTTAATGATATTACAACATTCTGTAATAGCCTTGAAATTGGTGGTGCAACAATTCACTGTTTAATGGAACACACTAGAACTAAGAAAAGGAAATCAAGAGTATCTAGCAGATGTCAAAGAGCGGTAATAAAATATTTGTATACATATTAACATATTGAAGTAATAATAATATTAACGATAATATATTAATATTAACAGTTAGAAGACTTAATTATGGATGCGGATGCAGGAGAAGATTGGAGAATTGATCCTGTATTACGAGAACAATGTCAACCTGTTGTTAATTTAGCTTGCAGAGATGTAAGAACTAATTATTCAATTATAGATTGAGAAAAAAATAACTAAAATTTAATATTCAATTTAAATGTAGGTACGTGGAGGAGATGCCACAGTTATATCTTGTTTAATGGATCAACTTGGTACAGATAGAATGACAGAAGCTTGCGAAACTGCGTTAGTTCAAATACAGTATTTTGTAGCTAGAGATTTTAAATTGGACCCTCAATTGTACAGAGCATGTAAATTTGATGCAATACGATTGTGTCATGCAAGAAACGCATGGGCAAGTGATGGAAAGCAAATGCATCCAGAAGAGGGACCTCTTGTTTTACCATGTTTATACAGACATGCATATCATCCTCAAAAAAATATGACTGTAAACATTTATGTATTCTTATCTTAAATGAACATATTCATTAGAAACAACCACTTATTTTCAAACTGTTTTAGTTAAGAACGGAGTGTCTTGAAGAAATTAGACGCGTTATGAGACAAAGAGCAGTAAATGTTGATTTGCAACCTGAGATTGAAGAAGTATGTCTTAATGAATTAGCATCATTTTGCTATGACAAAACAGCGAAAGGAGAAGAAATACTGTGCCTTCAAGACAATTTAGATCGGTAATAATATGTGCGATTCATTATATTAAACTTCATATATTTATACTTATTTTGTTCTTTATATTTTTAATTCTTTTGCTTGATTCGTAGTTTGAACAAAAATTGCAAATTAGCAGTGGGCAATTTTACAGAAGAACAAGCCGAACGCGTTGAATTAAATCCTATCATTTCGGCCACGTGTCAACATATCATGGAGCGTCATTGTGAGGTACGATAAAACTTTTAATAAAAATGTATTTAAATACCATGTAACATTCTTTATATTACTTTAACAGGAAGTATTAAAGTATGGTAAAGACGAAGGAGACATGATGGAATGTTTAATAGAACATAAAAATGATCTAGATGTACGGTCTGATTACAAATGTAAAGCAGCAGTGGAACATTTTCAATTAATATCATTAAAAAATTACCATTTTACTTATAAATTTAAAGAAGCTTGTAGACCATCCGTCAAAAGATGGTGTCCAAAGTAATTTTCTTAATATAATTTATTAAATTTATGATACAAGAGTTTTAGTAAAAACAATTTATACATTTGTACATTATTTAGGTCTAAAACCAAAGCAGATGTGATAGAGTGTTTGAGTGCAATTGTACAAGAAGATATAATGAAAGATACCCAGCATCATATACCAAAAGAATGTAGACAACAGTTGAAAGCACAACTTTATCAACAAAGAGAAAACATTCAGTTTGATCCTATCTTACAAGCACAGTGTACAACTGATATTAAACAGTATTGTTATAACGTTGAACCAGGAAATTCACAGGTATTGTATACACATATTTCGTTCATTGAGCATTTTTTCAATTTTTATATCAATGTTAATAAGATTATGGTTATTTTAGATTTTGGAATGTTTAGCAGCACATAAATCAAAGTTATCTGATGCGTGTCATAAACAGTTATTTAAAGTAAGGAAACAAGAATTTCAAGACAGTTCAAGTGACTTTGCTTTATTAAATACATGTCGAGTTATGGTAAGACAATTCTGTCACGATGTTAGTCGTTCTCAAGCATTGGATTGTCTCAAAAAGTATAAAGATGATCCAACATTTGATGATAAATGCAAAAATATTGTTATTCGAAGAATGATTGAACAAAATACCGATTATAGATTTAATAGTGCATTGCAAACAGCATGCTCCTATGATATTAATAAGCATTGTAAGGAGGTAAGAATTAAATTTAAAAAAAGCAGGTTTCTAAACTCTTTGCTCCTAAATATTTTTTGAATATATTATACTTATTTTTAGGTTTTATTGCATCAACCTACCGATAAAGAACTTGAAGGAAAAGTAATAAGATGTTTAAAGATTAAATTTCGAGAGTCAAAACTCACAATAAAATGCGAACATCAAATGACTAATATACTTAGAGAAGCAGCTTTAAATTATCATCTAAATCCGTTACTGGCTACAATGTGTGCGCATGAGGTATTATTATTAAAATATTTCTCAAATATCATTTTTATAACAAAAACTTTTTCTTAATATATTCATGTTAATATTCATTATTTGTTTCAAACAGATTGAAACAATTTGTAGAGCAGATGAGAATGATCCTGGAGCAGTAGAAGAGTGTTTAAAAATGGAATTTAATGCTGGTAATAGAGATATGAAAGAAGAATGCCGTCTTGAAATTGCAGATTTAATAGAACAAGCAAGAGCAGATATCAATGTAGATCCTTTATTACAAAAAGCATGTGCTGTTGATGTTAGTAAATACTGTAGCGATGTTCCGCAGGGTGCAGGAAGACGTATGTTAAACATTTATAAAGTCAGTATGTTAATAATTTACAATTATCTAGCAGAATATTTATGCATTTTAGATATCATGTGCCTGCAAAATGTATTAGAAGATAGTAACAAATCTTTACAACCGGATTGCTATAAAATGTTAACCACAAGAATTGATATGTTCAGAAACGCGGCCAAGGTAATAAGTTTTATTATCATAATGGAGGCATTTTTGTAGAAAGTACTGTATTTGAACATTTTATTTCATTTGAAAATTTGCGACAAGTATTCTTCAATTATATTTTATAATTATGTTATGACTTACATGAATAAATTTACTTCTAGTTAATTGCGCCAAATTCGATACAAGAACTTTATTCAACTGTAAACCGATCTCCTGCAAGACGATACTTCATGATCGTCGCGCTAACAATGATTGGTATAATTTTCATCATCGGTTTATTCTGTGGCAGAGTGACAAGACGGACAATGATCATGAAAAATAAGTGATAAATTAATGTGAGAACAGTCCGTCCTCAGTAATTTTCGATCATCGTAAATAAAGAAAAAAAAAGAAAATCAGCATGTAAAATAAACATCGAAAGCAAGGAACACACAAGATTAAAATGTTGACCTTCCTACAAACATCAAATTATGCAGAAATAAAACAAAAAAAATAACATTTTATATTTTTTTTTATCGTATATAAACTTATAAAAAAAATAATATTTACATATTACATGTCCATGATTCTACGATTTATTATTGAAACGTACTATCATAAATGTAAAAACTGTAAAAGTTGAATGAATGGAATGTATGATAAACTGGAAGTGATCTGCAGTTAAGATGGATTTTAATAAAGAAAAATATATATATATATACATATGAAACATATTATAGAAATAGATATATATATATTATAAAATAATAAATTGAAACAAGGAATGAATTTTTATGTCAATATTCTATACATTTGTAATATATAATGAAAATTTGAAAAAAAGAAAAAAATGTTTACATTCTGTTTAAGACAAAAACATTATCTGGGCACAAATTATGTACTTTGGTCTTCCATTTTAGAACATTAGAACATGTGTGTATTAGACGCTGTTAGGAATGATTTATAATTAATGAACTGGGATGGATATATGTAATATGCACATGATATAAAACAACAATATTACACATTTTTTCAAGAAATTTATGCTCAATTTATAATAATTAGTACTATTTAAACTTTTTATTAAATATGTTATCACTGTATTATAAAATATAAGACCAAATATTATATCATAAAAAATATGTTATTGATAAAATATGGAGGTAAAAATACTCAGTTGTAGATTACATTGTTGTCAGTTATAAAAAGTAATAAATTTTCTTTCTACCTGTATCGTAGAAAAAAGTGTGAAAAATGTAACCAAGATATGATAATTTTGTAAAAAGTTAAAAGATTTGAAAAAATTCATATTTGGATCGATTAACATAGAAGAATACAGTTTGAAATAATGCATTTATCAAAATTACTAAATATTTAGTATTGTTCATTTCGATGTATTTATGTAATTAGCACTTATTAATAACTGTTTCCATGAAAATACGGGAAATCAGAGTCAATGCATGCATATGTTCTGTTTTTGAAGAAATTAAAAAAAACTGCTATTTCCTTTTAAAAAATAATGCTAGATACATCCTTTAGTTATGAGTGGTTCTGAATAGAATTGAGGATGTACAAGGTACGGTAATATAACGCAAATCTACTGTATTAATATTATTTTTGCTTGTGTTAAAGACGAAATGAAATTTTAAAAAAGTAGAAAACCTAAATTGCACCTGAGTACATATTATACAGATATTATATATATATTTATGAAATTCCTTCAATAGTATCATGAAAATACATGTTATATCAAAAACCAGCTATTATACGATGAACAGCTTGCACACTTCTACATAACGGCTCTGGCAATAACGCATAATTTCTTTTTACAGCAAATGGTTTTCATTATAATCATATAGAAAGATTCTATACAGTACTAATTGCTACCTGAAAAGGAATAGTTTCGAAGCCACGGAAGTCTGGTTTCGTTTTTAACGATTCTAATTTTCGAGTTCGAACGCTGCGCGCAACGGTCGCGTTTACAGTTTTCCTAAAGACCGTAAGGCGACGCAGCAGTCGCATACAGTGCAAGAACCAGCAAAACATTGTTCGCAACGTTGTTTGCGTTGACGAACAAAATTGCACCTTCGGTGAGTGCGTGATAAATATACATCGTTCAATCGCGCGTACCAAGTGCATAGCTTTGTTACTCATTACGAAACATTATTGAAATCAGTATCGCAACCAATTCCAGTATCATCGAATCCATGCATTATCTTGTCTGAATAGCAACACCAAGTTCATTACCGAAAGATTGATGTACGTTGCTCGTCGAAGGACACCTTACGTACGCGTTTAAAAAGCGCAACAGTTACGACAAACATTGAATTGCGATGAACTGCGCAACGACATAGGTGTGGCGCGCGAAAGAGAGCGTACATGCACGTATCGGTAGTCCGTACGTGCAAGTGCTTCTTTGGAATGACGGCGGCGAGGAATTGGATTAACTTTCTCCAGTTACGTTTCGGTTTGAAAAATCAATCGATCGTTTTAACGTAGTGTCAAGTGCGCGTTTATATTACGAATACAATAAATTTGCATCGTAAGTGAATAATAACTTGTTTTGCAGAAAAAAAATATTTTCGGTGTTGTTAGTTTGCGAGGTAAATATATTTGGTGTCGAATACACCGTGTGGGTGCGTGTGCGTGAGCGTACTCGTGCCCGTGCCTGCGCCTATGCGTCTCCGTTCGTCGAGTTGTGGTGATCTTCGCAGAGGTGGCGGCGGTGGAGACAGTGAAGGTGGTGGCGGCGGCGGCGACGGTGGCAGCGGTAAAGGTGGCGGTGGTGAAGGAGACGGTGAAGGTGGCGGCGGCGGTGGTGGAGGCGGCGGCGGTGGCCGCGACTACGTTTGGAGGGAGAGATTTCGTACGTCGTGACTGAGTGAGTGAGTTGGTGCGTGTGCGTGCTGCCGCGCGTATACGCTCTCTCATTCTTGGGATCGTGTGCGCGCGTATTGTATATATATGTATATTGTCGCGCGCGCGCATTAACGGAATTCACGATCAGACACGCAGGGACTCTCAACAAATGTTTAAATGGACGCATCGTCCATTATCACCCAAGTGTCACGGGATGACGAGCTAGGCCAGTTTAATAATGGGAAAGGTAGGTGCCCGTGACAAATATGGCTAGCCGCCTTACATCTTTTTCCCCCGATTTTTTTTTATCGTTTTTCTTCCAGATGCTGGATGGAATCTGCACCTGTTACGGGACTACACCGCACTCCTCCTCACCTAGCTTCACCTCTCGCCCTGTTCCCCTCTCCTGCTGTTCGCCTGTACTTCGCTTTCGACGTCTCTTTTCCTCTCGCCCTCGTTTTTGCCTGGCCTCGCCTCGTTTTGCTTTACCTCTCCTCGTCAGATCATGCTTACCCCTCTCTCCGATCTTTTCTTTCACCTAAGTTTTGCGTGTATCTTATTTTATGTACTATGTTAGTGCACAAATATTGTATGTTCACTTTCTGTGAAATTGTAGTCTTTTTATATATGCAGTTCTTAAGTATCTATGCTGTATAAAAGTCACATTTATGTCCACTTTATACAGTTATTAAAAATAATATTTTTGTTTACTATAATTTCTTTAATCTATCATTCTGATTGCATAAATGTTTATCACATGTAGATTCTAATATTTATTACATATATATGTAATATATATTACATATCATCATTCTAGTTCTTAACTATTGTAACTTCATTTTTTAAAAAAGGGGTTAGTTAACCAGTCCATATTATATTTTGTTGATATAAAAAATTCAAATTCATTATTATATAATAAAAATTCTATTTAGAAAAGCTACAAATATTTCAATGCAATTGTTTTACTACTTTTACGCTTCTGTAATTTAAAATTTTGTAAACTTTAAATATAGTTTTCTTAGTTTACAAATAGGTATAGATAGAACAGTTAAACGAGAAAAGTATTTATTTAATATAATGTAAAGTACCACAGAATCTTTAAACATGTTTTCCTCAGAAACTAAAAGTGAATATATAATATTTTTGCACTGAATTAACAGTATGTCATTTTAAAATGGGTTAACACTGTAATAGCTTTAAAAGAACAGTGTTTTTTTATGAATTTATCATGAGATATATGTTACTAGCTAATGTAGTTCATTTTTTATGTAGACTAATTTTGCATATAATTTAGATATATAAATTTTCCAAATAAAATTAGGTATTGAATTATACCAATTTTTATTTGAAATTTCAATTAAAATTATACAAAGGAACATTTAATAATGTGTTAGCGTATTGTAATTTATATATTGAATGAAAAATTTAGTTATTTACATGTATATATGTTTGCTGAAAACATTTTAAGTTTTTCAACAGAAGAAATATTGATAGTATTTATTGATTTACTAGTATTATTAATCTTTAGTTATCATTCTTTTATTGTACATAAAAGAACAAAGCAATATGATTTGCTAATATTTTAATTCACAACTTTGTTGAATTGTAGACAATACTTTGTCCAAAATACATATGTTTCTCACATAAAACTAATATTTTCTTAGTTACAACTTTGTCCAAAATACATATGTTTCTCACATAAAACCAATATTTTCTTAGTTACATTTTCTGCCTTTTTACAGGATTTTTCAAAGAATCGTTAAAATTTAATGCTATTTTGTAGTATCAAAATAGTATACATATAGCTTAATACATACCTTCCTGAATATTGCCTCTACAAATTTGTCAAAATTACAAGAAAAATTTATTCAATATTTTTTGGGCTGAATTAAGTATCAATCCTTGCCAGCACTGAGTAGCAAGAAAGAGGTCTGATAGTCTATCTTTCTTATCCTTGAGCACTGACAAGGGCTTATAGGCCAGCTACTTGACCAGTTTGAATATACTTTAAGTATCAATGGTGATCTCACTGATGCCATAAGTGCCATGTATTTAACATTGTCTTTTAAAATAGATACAAAGGCCACTGTACTGCTCATTAATAAATTTAAAAGTCATCTTGTGAACCAGTTAAAATTTAGTATAGTTATTGAAGGTTAATGAATTCATTTTGAAAAACATTAGCCAACAATCTAAACAAAATTCCATTTAAAAAAGCAAGTTAATTTTCACATATATTAAAGGAATAATACAATTTCTGTATAAACAATTTTTTGTATTGTGTATGAAATTATGTAATACTTATGTCACGATAAATTCATTTTTATAATATTTTAATAACATTTGTGTTTTTTATCTATGTAATGTTTTTTATGAATGTTTATACTCATATAATATGTTTGTACAATGTAGCCCAGTTACCACAAGAGAATGAAGTGGTCAACAACAGTCCAGCAAGTGGCAAAAAGCCAAGAGGGCGTGGACTTTTGCGATCTCTACTTTGTTGCCTTGGTAGAGGACGTGGAAGTAGTTCAAAAAGTTCAAAAACAAGCTCTTTGCAAGGCGATGGACGTGGTTCTCCACCACCAGGGACTGGATCCCCACGGTTCCTTCTCCCACCTGTCAGACATCAGGATATGCACAAAAAGTGCATGGTGATTGATTTGGATGAGACACTAGTGCATAGTTCTTTCAAACCAATCAACAATGCCGATTTTGTTGTTCCTGTAGAGATTGATGGGACAGTGCATCAAGTGTATGTTTTAAAGAGGCCTTATGTGGATGAGTTCTTGCAGAGAATGGGCGAACTGTACGAATGTGTATTATTCACAGCAAGTTTGGCTAAGGTATATTAAAAACAGCTTTTTTACCACTAATAGTTTTGTGTTAGAAAAAATATTTAAAATTTTTTATGCTTGCAGTATGCTGATCCAGTAGCAGATTTGCTTGACAGATGGGGAGTGTTCAGAGCAAGACTGTTTAGAGAATCTTGTGTTTTTCACAGAGGAAATTATGTTAAAGATTTAAATAAACTAGGGCGGGATTTGCAACAAATTATTATTGTTGATAATAGTCCTGCAAGTTATATTTTCCATCCAGATAATGCGGTAAGTTTTACCAAAAATAAAATGAAGGAAGCTGAATGTACAAATTTTAAAAGAAATTCATTTTTAGGTGCCAGTGGCATCATGGTTTGACGATATGACAGATTCAGAATTGTTAGATTTAATTCCATTCTTTGAGAAACTCAGTAATGTGGAAAATATTTATACAGTCTTGTGCAATAGTAATCATCCTTATAATCAAGTACCTACGGCTGTACAGAATAGTCCAAGCCCCGGGTCAGGTTCACTTGGTGCTTCCTAGCCCTACCTAAATTCTGGCCAAGTAGCCAGTATTGTCATCGCTCAATGCACTCTAAGGAGAATTTTGACTGGAATATTCCATATTACCCATTTGTTATGTGGCAGTGGAAAATTGAGTGTGGCTCACTAAATGGTGGATGCAACATTACTTGTTGAGGAAAAGGAGGTGAAAATCCTAAGTCCTCCTATGCACTGTTTATTTTGATACAACATAAGCAACAACTGTTTCATTGTTGACTTGAGTTCTCTTTTCTAATAAAGAGTAATATAGTATGCTGTTTATGGTATGCTAGATGTAATGAACTGAGTATATTGATCCAACTATTAACATACAGGTAATTGAGAAACAAAAATCACAAACAGTTCAGTTGATAATAACTCTTCCAATCACACTGAAATGGAATAAACTTTAAATATGATCCATGTGCGTGTTTCCGTGCTCGGTGTACTTAAGAAAAGGAACAAATGGCAATGGTAATAGTAAATGTGAAAAGTGACATACGTTTTAAATTGGGTAAGTGCATAGATTTGTGCTTACGTATAATTTTAATTCAGATAGGGTACCTTATGCATTAATTACACGAGAGAAAAAAAAGAAATATATATACATATATATATAAATGAGAGCGCTAAGTGATAAAAAGGGAAGAGATACCTGATCAAATAGAGTCTTTTGATGGGCCATTTTATTTTACGCTTTCATATTCTTATTATTTACCGACAAATTCGTACTGTTTTTATTAACATCAAATTTCAATGGATTCTTCTAGCATAACTACAAATATTAAGCAATATGATAATTAGTTTTCGTATAAATTTTATGAGGCTAATAATTCCAAATAATTACAGAAATTAGTGCATTTGTAAACGTTTTTTATCGATTATAATTAAGATCGAAACATCTTTTTTATTACCAAATGAAACAAAATATTAGATCTAATAATGTAAAATAATGATGAAAATGCAAGAAAGATTAATAATCTAACTTTTTTTAACGATTTTGTACGGAAAAAAATATTTTCAATAAATAGGATTTGAAATACGACAATATTAAAACGTTAACAAATCATTTAAATAAGTAAAATAGAAAAGAAACAATGATGTTATGTTTCCATCTTTTGATGGTATTTTACTTTTGTTCCAAGCAAATGTTAAAATAATAATATGGAAATTACATAAATTGGAAGAAGTTTCGAATATATTTAAGAATTTGGTAAATGCATATCATTCTCTCCCTCCAGATAATTTTATGATTAATGAAGCCTTATGTTAATCCAATAATCTATTAGAATATTATTAACAAATTAGAATTATTTAAACATAATCCATCAAGAATAAGTAGATGAAAACTTCTTTACGCGTGTAAATATGTTTACTAACAGATAGCTATCAATTTTGTACGCTTAATTCATACATAACAAATGTACAAACTGCATTATACTTCCATATTCAATCTAATTGTCGTTATTCATGCTTTTTATTTTATTAGTATTGTTACTGGCGCATTATTATTAATGATATAGTAAATTCAATTTTATTATATCGCCACAATCGGTTTAGTTTCAGATATCATATTTTACTATGAATATTATACATTAATCATTATTTAGTTGTTTAAATGGACTGTAAAGAAGCAGAGGTACGGTTAAATAGATATATTTTCAGAATATTTTCACACGAATTCTCCGTTCGTATAAGTCACTCGCAGCTATTGATGTTTATCCAATTATAATATTGACATATTTTCATGCTATCTTTTACATAATACAATGTCAAGTTCAGTAAATTAAATTATAACTTTTACCTTGAAATTTCAATATCTCTTCTGTCTTGAAATATGGAAACTAATACCTTGATAAATACTAACTTCTTTATTTCAGATTCTATATTTTAGTAGAATTTTAATAAGTATTTTAATGAAGGCATTTGTTAAACTTGTGGTAGATTCATTTGCATAAAATTAATGTCCCTTTCAAAAACATTTGTTTAACATTTGTAATAATCTAATGTAGTATATATTTAATAGTACTTCATTATGAACTTTTCTTATTCTTACTTATATAACATTATGTTTATAATGTCTGTTATTTATCATAGATCAAAAAACGAATCTGTACCGTGCTGTAAATTATCGTTTCAGGAAGAAAGGGTTAGGGTATACAGAGATAAGTATATTACATAACAATAAGTCGTACACATATTGCATAATATTAAGTGGCTTCCAATTTCATATTTCATGAAGTTTTATGTTAATTATTTTCTGATTGTATTTTAAACAAATCATTGTTATGCAAAACCATATCTAACTTATGCAAAAAACAAAACTGATAACAATGATCCCATTGCTCTTGCAGTGGTTAATTTTTGTTTTTATCAAACCATTTGAATGTATGATGAAATGAATGAATTATACAAGCTAATCATACAGCTGTATATAAATGTTGAAAATTGATATTTAGAATCTAACAACTTATAATTTAGAATTATATTAGCTGTACCAGCGTCACTATATTTATGTTAATTACTGATATTTAAGATTCAACCTGTTACGAAATGTTTGTACTTAGTAAATGTACCTCGCTAATCAGTGCTTGACAGAACTCGAAATCTCTAGATACATATATTTGATTTAACGAAGGTTTTTTTAATATATGCGTAGCAGCCAAATTTTTACTTGAACTCTCGTTAACATGCGTTTCTAACGAATGAATTGAACAAATTTATTTTAAAGATGAAACGGATACAAACGATACCGAAGATCACGATGTATTTTCAACCTAACATTAACAAAAAGAAACAAAGTATCGTAGTCATTTTCGCTTGTACAATGCCCATCGAAATGACTCTACGAGCTGTGTGGTGCACCTTCTCCGGAAATACGTACACGACTACTGGATAAAACAAAAGGAATTCTCTATTTTGAATCTGACACTCGTTCGCTTTTTATCCGCGACGTCTTTTATAATGTTCTTTATGTCTGCCACTTGAGAGCGATCGTAAATTTCATATACGACGTACACGAGCGATTACAATGCGAAATATACAGTCATGTGGCAAAATCCTAAAATCATCTTTTTAGTTGTTTTGGTATCGCAGGAACGTTTATCAGTGATAGTGCACGATAAAGAATTTCGAACATGGAATATACATCGTCAATGACGTTGCTTCTCTTTCGAGGGATCCCAGGAGATCCGGGGAGAGACGTGTAAATTTCCACGTTGATGTTGTATCCGAAACAAGATATCTTTCGGATTCAATATTACAATGTCATTGCGTCGAACGTTTCTACAACATTATGTGCACTCGTGAGCACGGTATGCTTTCCTAAACGAAATGGCAATGAAAGAAAAACGGATTCCACCGCTTGTAGATTTTTCGTTCATTCGTTTCCAAATTCGTAAGCTTTCAAATGTAGAAATTTAGAAATTTTTGTTATAATTATTCGAATTTAAGAATTTGGAAATTTGTGGACTTGAAAATTTAAAGATTCAAAAATTTAGAAATTTGAGAATTTCAAGATTTTGAACTTTGATAAGTGGTGGGGGATACATTTATTTTTACCCAGAGGAAACCTACATTGTGCACGAGTATTCATCATGTTGTGCTTCCATGATTAATTAGTATTAACAAACCAGTGTATCGCTTTTATCGAATGCAATTTATGTAGACGTTTCACGAACGTCTATAATATCTGGGCCTCCTTGCACAATAGTTTATCAATTAATAATATCTTTGAATTTAGAAGTTGCAGGTTGCAGAGTAGGCTTCCATAGAAAAAATAGTAACAGAGAAGAATATCAAGGGAATTATTAAGCACGGTAGATTTCCTTATATTAAAAAAATTTCAAATTCCCAACTCCAACAAAGACCAGAATATTCTTTTCCTACATAATCATTATTCCTAGAGAAGTCTACTACGTTTGATACTATACCTAATTATGCCAATGTATGCTATGCATAGAACTACGCAAATGCACGATAAACTTTTTATAAATCCATTTAGCGCCAGCATTGATTATTAATATTTCACAAGTTTTGAAATACTAATATAATAATTTTCTGTACAAATTAAGGTTTTATTTCCGCTTATGTAGATCATATAAACTCATAATTTACTATATAATTTGTAGTATACTTTAAGTCAAATAATTTTAATATTGTTTTATGTACTGAATGTGAACTGCAAACTACACGTGGACTCAAAATGTCAAACAATCACTTCACGATTAATTTATAAAATCTACTTATAGAAGTGCGCTTGTTTTGTTAATAACTTCATTAGTTCATTAGCGCTGGTAATCGGTAACTTGTGACCTGTAAAATTTCACTGATAATATCAATTTGATTGTACAAGAAGGCCCTGATAACATGTACATGCGTTTCTTTTGTCGTGTTTTTAATATTTCCAAGCATTTTGTTTTGTTTCCTTTTTTTCTTTTAATTACTGCTATTACTATTATTATTATTATGATTATTATTATGGAGTTGTAACATGATTGTAGACGCGCTATAGTAGAACTTCGAGGATGATAATGATGGGTCTGTTGCATGAGTCCGAATACATGATTTGTTTAGATTTATTATGAGAAATTGTGCGCCGAGAAAACTGTTAGCGTGAAGGCGTAGGGGAAATTATCGTGATACGTAATTAGGTATACAATATATTAAACATAAATATAAATATATAAATACGTAGGTAGACCAATTTGAAGAGTGCGTAAAATTTTGTACAGACACGACGGTGTCCATCGTATGATTCTCGCCAAAATATAGCGTGATCGTAAATGTCAAAAATGACCATTTGCATTGATTTATACGTATACATATACTGATTTCTAAAAACTTGCGATTAAGTTTCATTTTATATAAATGTAAAATTAAATTAACTTTTACTGTCTATAGAGCTACGTATTTTTGACGGAAATCATACACACACGATATACCTGTGTATATGTAATACAATGCGAAAGTACAACAGTTATTGTTTTTATTTGCAAAGCGAAAATATCAATGCAATATTTTCGATTAAATTACTTAAGCATCGTTCGACGTGTTCTCGTATATCGATGATCGATGACTTTATAAGAACATTATCAAAACATGTTTAAACGAATCTTCTTTTATACGCTAGCATTACGATCGGTATCTGGCGTGCGTGGCGTTAATCAAATGCAAAATTGTTTAATGATTCAAGGTGAAGGAAACACCGGTGTTATTCTTATTACATTAATTTTAACCCTTATTAGAGATATATACAGTACCCTTAATATGTAAACGTAAGTCTGTCGTGTCCGATCGATGAGTACTATTTTTTTAAAAATCTGAAACAATTTATCTAGTATTTTCAGATGTTCTAAATTAAGAGCAAGTATTTATTGATTAAAATTAGAAGATACTTAAGTTTGCAATATGAAAAGTAATTGTCAAGGTGAAGGTTATTAAGTAGAAAATATTAATTTCTTTTTGTATTGAAACAAATTTTATAACCATACGTTTTTCAAAGATCTACGTTTACACATTAACACGTTCAATTCTAAGTAGATGTAATTCGACACAGCGAATGCATAAAAAATATTTTCAACATTGGCGTAACTAGTAGGGTCCAAATTCTCGAAAAACAGATCATCATATTTAATATGAAGAATTAACATTGTAGGTAATAGGAAGCATGATCTACCCTAAAGAAAAATCCTAGTTACGCGAATGTTTTTCAAAACAATTTCTAGAAAATACATTTTCATACTGCCCTGATCTAACATAAGTATCATCCCTGTATTTTTTAATTTTGTGTATGTTCGTGCGATTTTATAGTCCCTCAAAGATCGCCGTCTTTGTGCAATGCATTTTAAAACGCAGTTAGAACTGAAGGTGTTGAGGATAAATTTTAAACGAATATTATTAGTAGATTTGGTTTGAACTGGTCACAAAGCGATTTGATGATAATGATCGTGTTGTAACCGCAATGAGTGAGTCGCTAACATTTTTCTCTGTGCAGGAATTGTTATTTGAAATAGCCTTGCGAATATGTATAGGTCATACGTATAATATACCTTCGAGGAAAGGAAAAAGGAGAATACATGCGCATGTGTGCGTGCTTTGTATGTATGTATGCTAGGAATAACTGCGAGCGTGATTATAGTTTTTAAAGAAAAAAGAAAAAAAAAATACTAAAACAAAGTGGTGAAAAGACCGTTCGCCGAGCGATGGTCGCAGAACGGAAATTGAAACTTTTTTATATACAACTATGTACTTTAAGAGATATAAAACAAAAAAGGGAATTAAGAAGAAGAGAAGAAGAAATTCGAAACTTCAGTTATTGCGCTCAGAACAATTAATTTATTGCACTATTATTATTACATGCATTGTACAAAATTGATCAAGAAAACGAAATGGAATTATTAGAATTCGAAGTGTCTCGTTATAGGAGTGGCAACCCCGAGAGAGTGTGAAAAGAGTGAGGAGATTAAACAGAAATAAACAGAGTGAAAGGTACGAGTGTGGATGTAAAGAAGAAGAAACAATTAACGATATTGCCTTGATTTGTAAATAAAACTTAATTACTTCCACTAATGAAACCTTCTATGCAGATTCTGAGCGGGCTGCAATTTCGCTCATGCAGGCTCACCCCCTTCTATTTCGTATGTTTTTTACTAAACCGCGGCTGATTTTAACAGCGAACATATTTTGTACAGTAACGAGACATGTATATATATACATATACATGTTTATTTATCTAATATAAATAAATATATGTATATATAATATATAAAAGATGGAGGTGAGCTCTGTGCGTTGTACCAGAAAAATCAATTAGACTGTAATATCTCCCACCCCTCTGACATGTCCAGTTTGCTCTGTGATTCTGTGTTTAATAAAAAAGAAGGCAAAAATATATATATATATATTATGTATATGTATGAATATATACATGTATACATGCGTGCATATTGAACCTCCATTATATCTAGTTGAAATTGCTGTTTATTCTTGAAAGACAAATTTTCAAATTATACAGTAATTTGCTCTGCGCCCTTTATTACCTTATTTGAAGATATTTCATATTGCTTGTTGGAAGTTTAGAAATTTTATAAGTTACCATTCCAAATTCTTAAACTTCTGTTTTTAAATTTTCGTTCAGTGGAATATTTGTTACCTCATTCATTGACTGGTAACAAAAATCAATCCTTAAAAGAATAATGTTTGTGGATGATCATATACTACAAAGGTGAGACAACAGTGATATTCATGACGGTCTACGTGGAGGAGAATCCGTCAAACCAGCCATGTAAACCGGAGACATAGCAGGACTACAATATATTTAGGCCACCAGTTTGACTGTATGCGGTTGATCTTGGAATTGGATTTTTCTCTAGCATTCCATTCATATATACAGAATATCTACTTATAAAGTTTTACTATATATGATTTATTGTACAGAAAAATACAATGATTAACGTATAAGATACTATTAATTAGCTATCCACTTGAATGTGATAGAAATAAATTTGTTTAAACAATAAACAAATTTAAGAAATTATTCAATGATAATATTTAAAAGAAAAGTATTTATTGTAATCTATAATTTTAATGTTACTGATAAATCACATTTGTTCAAAGGTGATTAATTCAAATTTAAATCAAACAGGTTTTTATTATTCTACTGCCGAAGTCAAATGAAAGGTTTTTTTTTTTAAATTAATGACTATAGCGCCATATGCATAGAAATAACATTAGCTTGAAATAACAAAATAAATATATACAGCATATTTATTTTTATATATACAATATTACTACTCTATTGAACTTCTGCATTACTACGCACATAACAATATGTTATACGTACAAGAGTATCAATGCATATTGATATATATACACATATGGAAGAGATCGTATGTTTGTATTTGTACTTCATGATTAATATTCGTTTAAAATGCAATTGCCATATTATTTTTACTTATTTTTAAAAATGATTCAAATTTGTTTGAAAACATGATCTTATAACACTTATTTTACACGTGCAATAAGTTTTGTATTCTTAACCTTAAAATTTCGTTTAACCTTATCAATTGAATTTGTTAGAAAATGTAAAAGAAAAACTAAAAATTTAAATAAAGAAACAATTTGAAGACTTTTCGGTAAATATCTTTTATTTTATTTCTTTTGAGTATAATATAAAGTAAATATTATCAAAAATTAAATCGTACGATATAACCAAAGGTTATTGTGATTAATATTTCTGTTGTGAAGGAAACATGAATAATTTGACAGATGCACACTGGTTTCCTTTAACGTCTCAAGGAAATATTTATTCAATGACAAAGTTATGCTCAAATAGTGGCTACAATAAAGTGTTAGTGGCTTCTTTAAAAAGAAAAATATATTCTTGTGAATATCATTTGATGCCAAACCTGCATTTAAAACCATTGATTAAGGAATTACTCTTTACATACATTCCCAGTTTGTAATCTTATATTCTTGTTTATTATCAAAAAACATAAGTATTTTATTTTTGAATAAATATTATTTTTCATTAGGCGGTGCTGAAATTATATCTATTGATGCTTACAATAAATCTGACAGTGGCGATGGATTTGTGATAGGAATAACTATTTTGAAAGCAAGTACAGATACATCCATAGAGAGGTATTTAAATATATATACAGAAGGTGCTATAGATGGAGAAGGAGATGAAGGCAGTTCAATTGAAGCCATAGCACAAAATTGCCTTATGGTAGAGTTAGCATATACACCATATCATTTGTATCATACTATATTGCCACAACAAAGTTCTCACAATGAGGTAATTTTTTAACATTACAATAGTTTTTCTAATATTGCTTATAGTAGTGAATTACAGAAGAAGGGACAATGTTATTTGTTATTCCTTAAATTTAAAGTGTTAATATAACATTTCCTAAGATTTTAGGTTGTTTGGTTACTATCTGGTAGTGATTATAAAATTCATATGATTAGAGAGGATAAATTGAACCATGGCTATAGTGAATCATCGATCGAAAAATATTTTCCTGAATTGCATGATATCCAAGGAATTGCAGTATGGATTAATATTTACTACTATGATAATTACAATTGGTATAATATTATTATAGTTATGTACAATTTGTATAATTTATCAGTTATAATACAACTGTATTAAATTATTTAGGAGACTGACTGTAATTGGTTGTGAATGTGGTTTAGTTGTAGTAGCCATAGTTAATGTTTTAGAACTGAAAATCTGTCGAACTTGGAAATTAAGGTATGATAGGCCTATTTCAAGTGTATGTATATTTCCACAACAGAACAATGTCATGAAACCTTCTTTCATTAATTCTAAAGGTAAATATTGCTAAATTAATATACTAATTGCTCACAAATTGGTATTCTTAAGGAAGCTGTAACCGTATCATCAGAATGGATTGATATTTTTAATTGTTACAGGTCCAAAGTTTCCTTTAAGCAATGAAACAAAATTGAATATCCTTATTGTAAATACAAGTAATGCAGTTGTTTTCATGTAAGTGTATAAGACTTTTATCATGTGTATATGTATTACACTTCATTTATTTAAAATTTCATTAGGGATATTTTAAATAATGGAATGGATGAAGACATAATATTAAATGGTAGTGAAACATCTGATTGCATTTTATGCTCTTGTACTGCTGACATAAATATGGATGGTCGAAACGAAATACTTCTAGGAACTTATGGTCATGAAGTTTTAATATTCTGCTTTGTAAATAGTACATGGGAATTGATCATTAGAAAATTATTTGATGCACCTGTGCATTCTATATGTTACATGGATATTACTAATGATGGAATGAAAGAACTTATTGTTCTTACACAACGTGGAGTTCATATACTACAGGTTGTAAGACTTATTTATGTTACATACAATAAATAAATAATAATATTCAACTTGATATAATTAAAATTGTAAATTACAGCACAATATTGTGGATGTAAAGGATAAGTGGAAAAAGCGATATCGGAAAATGCTTAAAGAAAGTAGAATATAATTTTTTAATGTTATGAAGAAAGATCAAAATAAATGTCATTCTTTAGAATTAATGTGAACAAATTTTTGTATATAAAATTGAAGATTATAAAGCACATTTGACATTATACATATAAGTACATGTGTATAATATCAAAGGGAAGAATAAAAATAAACTTATTTTTGTTATTACTATAATTGTAAAACTAAATAATATAAATAAATATAATTACGTGTTGAGACAAAAGTCACTCTAAATAAAATAAAAAATATCCAAACAGATGGCTAATAAAGGACAGAAATGAATTCAGTATAAATTCAAAATTATTTTATAATTTTTTATTCAAAACTGTCATTTTTTATATGGGTGGCATGTAACTTCATCTGCGACTAAATGATATATCCCTAGGTTCTCCAGAGCTTTTCCAAAACTCCACCTAAGTTTTTGCTAACCTTTTCTCTAGACTTTTTCCTAGGTTCATCCACTACTTCTTCCTAGGTTCTTCCTAAGATTTCCCTAGTTTCTCGCTAAGTTCTCCCTAGATTTTTCAAGGACTTTCGTTAGTTGTATACACCGGTGCTCATGAGCCCTTTTGTGGGCTCTTGATCTGTCCATTACTGATTTTATCCAATAATTCTGCGCATTAACAATTCAATAAATGCGCAGTTCCATTGGTTCTTCAGTTAGTATGCTTCATAATGCATCGTATCTACATTTCGCGGAATCAATGACGTGACAAACGGTTCAAAATAGTCTGGCACGTGCTCGAGGTGGAAGGAAGATTGTCATACGTATACCTTTATGTGGTGCTCACGCTCGTAACAACACTGATGATCGATATATTACATTGGATCTTGACTAACGTTGCAAAAGGATTTAACAGCTTGTTCTGTTCTTTTTTCTATGTAAATTAGAATGACAAGTAAAAAAGGACACACCCTCCGAATTGAATCAGAAATCGATAAAAACCGTGAAGAAAGAAATTGGAAAAAGGTTATAGAATTGGCGGAACATCTGAAAGTACAATACCCGAGCGATGGTATATAAACATTTATCATGTTACGAATTTTAATTAATAATTTTTATATACTTTAATAACATTCTTTTTTTAATATTCAATGAAATTTCGTAAAAACGAAATGTCATATTGTTAGTTTCGTAACCTGTTTATGTAAACGGAAAAAAAAAGAATGTTAAGTCACGTTGTAGATTATATGAATAAAGGCCACTTGTCAAAGACCAACTGTCATATATGTCATTTCGTGTTTTATATTTTAGTTTACAATTCGTTTTAGGATAACAGTAAGAAAACGTATTATCAGTTGAAGATTATAAGTTTAACCAAATACTGATAAAGTGCCTAAGTAATATTATATATGTTTTATCCAAAAAAAGTCCATTACAAAAATTTTATTATTGATTAAGATTTCATTTTTATCATGTCTTATAATATACTTTATTGTGTTAACAAATAATTTCAATTTCAGAATGTTTAGCAAATTTTTTATGTGGAGAAGGCAGATTAGAAAGCTTTTTGGAACAAACTCCACCTATAGATGCTAATATTGCAAAAGCAAGAAATGGATTGGCAGAAACTAGAAGATATTTACTTTTGGCAGCGAATGAAAAGGACAAACAGGTAAATTTTTAAATGAATAGACCATAAGAATTTATAGTCTAATATGTTTTCCAAAACAAAATGGTATAATTGTTATATCATATTTCACATCATAGGCTTTAGTTGTATTAGATGCACATCTATTACTTGGGAAATTGCATTACGCTATGGGGATGTACGAAGAAGCTCTCAATCATTATCAACAAGCTGAGTTGCACACACTTACGGAAAAACCATTACCTTGCAGAAGTCTACGCATTATCGCAGAATCATACGCAACTAAAGGTTTGCATCAAGAATTATTTAAGTTACTTAATACATTGCTAATATATACTAGTGCATTATTATTTCTTGTATCACATATAACAGCTTGCCATTTAAATAAAGGAATGGTTTATATTTACTATAGTTTTGGTGTTTTACATAGTTCACTTAACAATTGTTTTTTTAATACTTCCGTACTTTAGAATATTAAAGTTTGTGCTGAATTTGAAAATATTGCACTCAATGTAGATGTTCTAATGAAAAATTTAAAGGGCTGCATATTTTTTTTTATTGGCAGTCCATACTAAGTATAAATCTTCTCATACACCAGTCTGAGGTAGCACCAAATCTACAAGCTGGTATTTATACAACGTGATAATTTTTTGAAAATATTTGCTACCTATTTAGTATCATAATCAATATTCAACTTAGAGAAAGAAAGATTGTTTACTTTAGACACAGAAAAACATTTATCCAGCCGAAGACTGCGCATTATAGCCGAGTCATACGTAATTAAAGGTTTGTATTTTGCTTCATTTTATTTTTCTTTTTTTGCAATGTGAAAATGAAACCCATTCATCTCTTTCACCTATTTTAATGTTATGCTTGGTTGTAATGTAAAATATCTTAATGAAATACTTTGTTCAAAGCTCTTTCCAGTGGTATTTGAGATTATCTTTAGATCAAAATTCTATTCAAAATAAAACGTTGTAGCTGATACTCTATAAAAGATGCATATTCTTAAATACTAAATTAGGGTTGAAAGATAAGTAATTATTACATCAATTTATTGTAAATAATTGTCTTTTATCATAATATGAAAGCTAATATTTATTTATGGTTTTAAAATTGTATAAAAGAGGAAGATATTTATTTACAGTACTGAATTAATTTGTTCCAATAATGGTAACTATAATTTCTGTTTTCTATAAAAATCATTTACTTGTGCTTTGCTTTAATTTGCACTGCAAATGCATGTCTAATTAATATTTTACCACTTTTCTCATTATTCTGGCTTGCAATACATTTTCGTTTTAATTCTATCTTTTATATAAATTCTTCAATTAATGGATTTTAAACATTTTCACAAGAAAGATATAAATATTATGAGACGATTTTTATGCAAATTAAATAAAGAAACAATTTATATACTTGTATTATCATTAACATACGTAAAATATAATTATATTTACATAAATGTAAAAAAAGAAAGAAAATTTGTTTACATATGTTATACTTATTTTCTCTATGTAAAATTTAATTACATTCGATAGTGTACATTGCAAGATCGAATAAATATTATTAATAATTTTTTAAGAATGTTTTCATTTACTTGGTTTTTCTTTTACATTATAATAGGTCTTTGTCTGGAAAAGTTGCCACCAAATTCCAAGTCAAAATACAAGATAGCAGAATGGCAAGAACAAATCATCAAGTGCTATGAAATTGCTGGAGACTTAACATTAGTGTATTTACAGGAACAAGACAAACTTGCAATGCAACACCAAAATGGCACGTCTGTCGTGAATAGTAACAATGCAGGTGACGTAAATTGATTTTCAGCACATTGTATTCAATCATATAATGCTAATTGGATTCTTATTCCATAAGTTGTTCCTGTATGAATAACATTATGATAATTAGTGGTAGCTTCCAATGAATGAATGAATAAAAGATAATATTCTCTGTTCCGAATTAGTTGTTATAGCTGTATAGTTCTCTTTTGATTATTGATTGCTCCAATTATTAAATAGAGTTATAAGTTATTAAACTATGTACTCTTAAACATGTAATCTTAATTATGTGTTCGTTTTTTTTTTGCAGGTGATTTTATAGGGTTCTTGGTGGAATGTGACAAAACTTGAAATTTGGGTTTTGTTGTTAATACGTTAATATCATTTGATCAACAGGTACAAATTCTTCTCAGTCTTCATTTTGTTCTACAAAACATATTGGACCAATTTTGGAAACTGCACTTCAAAGGGCACCCATATTATATATTCAAACTGGTAATATTCAAGCTGCTATAAATCGTTATAGGTAAATAACTTTTGTATTGATACGTATATAAATGACAACAAGGTAACAGTATTAAATATTATTTAAAAAACAATTTAATCTTTAATTTATTAAAAAAAGTTAATGTTTATAAAATTGAATCATTTATAAGGGAAATTTTATCTGCCGTGGAGTCTACTACAACACAAAGTCTTCGAGTTACATTAACGAGACAATTGGCAGAAGTTTTAGTTCGGGGAATAAGTGGTGCTGAGTACAAACCTCCGGAACCACCGAGCGATACAACTGGTAATATTATTAATACATTATTACTGTTATAGTAAAATATGGATTAAAAATGAAACAATCAAATTAGAATTTAAATAATGATTTTTCAGATTCACCGTGGAAGCCAAAAAAATATTTAGGACTTAATATGTTTGTACCAAGAAATGAGTACGAAGAAACAATTTTATTATTATTAATAAGCGAAGCTATGGCAGTTAGAGACGCTGTACTTAGTCAATCGCCGGAATTCAAAGAAGCCAGAATACATGCTTTCGAAAATGCCACAGCGGTATACGATCTTCTTACTGTAGTTGTTGTGAGGTGGAGTCAAGTGGACTTATTATACGAGGTTGATATAATTAAATAATTTGCTTAATGTTTATATTTTAATATCGTTATGATTGTTATTGTTTATATAATTACGTTAACCGATACAAATATGATATTCACACTGGAATTAATTTTACATTCTAATAGTCATTTGAAAGAGCAATGAAATTCTCTCATGAGGAAGCACATGTATGGACTCAGTGTGCACTATGTTTAATTAGTATGGGCAGATATATGCATGCATATAGGGTTTTAAAGGTGGTAGCGAGATTATCACCACAAAAAGTAATGCCTTGTCTTTTAGTTGCAAGACTGTGTTATGAACAATTAAATATGGTAAGATATAGATGTACATATTATATATAAATAATATACTGAAACATGGGCGTAGCCAGGGGAGAGATTTGTCCCAAGAGATAAATTGTATGAATTAATATTTAAAGTAACCTGATTACGCTTGTGCACTGAAAATATATTTGGACAACAAATATGGATAGAAATGTCTATATTATGAAATTATACATAAAACAGATACGAGAAGGCATCGAATGGAGTCAAAAAGCACTTCAAA